GAAAGATTTGATGGATTAGCCCACTTTTAATTCCACCAATAATACTTTTTGGAAGATGTAATTTTTTACCTTAACTAAAAAAAAAAATGTATCAATGAATGATTGATTATTTTTATATCTTTTTTTAGCAGTGGTGGTAAAGGACTTCATGGCTAATTTGAATTTTGTGCAATGAGAGTTTTAATCAAAGTCACACAATTATTTTCATAAAATATCACTCTCATGCTCTGCGCCTAATCTCGCTTAAATTCTCTCTACTTATAACTTAATTTTACTACTCTCATGCGCCTACTCTGGAATTCGCTTTCGCTCCCGCTCTCATTTTATGTAACTTAGATTTGAATCCCTCTTACAAAGTTACAATGAAAAATATATTATTGACGCTATATTTGCACTACAATTTTATATAAAATGACAATTATATCATTTACTTTATAAATAAAAGATTATTACTTTTTAAATGACACAACTATCCTTTCATATTTTTTCTCCTTATCTATAATCTTTAATAGTTTAGGTATCTTTTGGCAAGATAAAAATAATAATAATAATGAATAATATTTTGTTTCGAGGACCAAAATAAAAATTTATATTGAATAAATTCTCTTTTGACCAGGCCAAAAAAAAATATTTATCGAAGAAATTATTTCTTTTGTCGATATCAACACAAAAAAGTAGATTAAAAAATATATATATCTCTATTGAATAAATTATCTCTTTTGATAAAACTCCGATATATATATATATATATATATATATATATATATATATATATATATTGAATAAATTATTTCTTTTGACGGGACCAATAAAAAATTACAAAAAAAAAGGTTATTTCTTTTGACAGGACTGAAAAAAAAAAAAAAAAAAAAAAAAAAAAAAAAAAAAAAAAAAAGAAAAAGAAGAAGAAGAAGAAGTCATTATTGGATAAATTATCTCTTTTGACTACCAAAAATAAAATTATCAATATGAAATACATTATTTTCTTTGAGAGGACCTCCGAAAAGAAAAGAAAGTATAGCGCTGAAAAAAAAAAAAAAAAATAGTAAAGGAACTAAAGAAGGTGAAAAAAATATATATATTAAGTTGTATCAAGGATAGTTATGCCATAATAAAATAAATCATAGTGCATTAATGAATTTAAGGACCTTCTTCTTATTTCCTTTAAAAAAAAAAAAAAAATATAAGTGTAATGCAATTGAAGAAAAGTGGAGTACAAATATCCCTAAAAAATACACTATAATTATTAATAAAGTATAGTTATCGTTAAATAACTGTTAATTGAGAGAAGTTTTCATTTAAGAATGTATTTTCTTAGACTAGGTATACGGTATACCGTCTGACACAACCAATATGTTGATCTTGAAGGTGTAGCAACAGTAGCATTAACCCAATGAATGGATTGGTTTTCTATTCGAATCCAATTTATTATTATTATTATATATGGATAAAAACATTTATTCTACAATATGTTAACAGCATAAACTTCGTAAAATGTTAGCTAAATAATTAAGATATGACTTGTAGTCGAACAAATTTAATAATGATTCAATCCAACATGGTATGATATATAAAATTTATATATTATCAAAATGTTTTTATCATTATTTTTTTGTTCTTCACTCTTTTTATATTTTTTTATTATTTTTAATCCTTTAACAAAGAGTTAAATATCTAAATTTCTGATTTTATTGTGGAGTATGATCCGATCCAAGCCTCCTGACCTAGAGAGAAGTAAATAGAGCTTATACGTACATTTATTTTATTTTTTGGTTCGTTTTGCTCTAAAAGTTAATTTACTCATTTTTATTAATAGTAATTAATTTCGGTATCATGTTCAAACAAACAATTTAATGTTATAATATAAGGTTAAGTGCAAAAAACTCCTCTCTACTATTGATATAGTGTAAAATAATCCACGTGTGATATAAGACTCCCATATATTATCAATTTGGTGCAATTACCCCTATCGCATAAAAAGACATTAATACCCTCTCTAATATAAATTTATGAGTTAAGTGTATAAAATCCCTGATATATAGGGGTTGTGCAGAAATAATCCATACTTTTTGAAAATGTACATTTCAGTCCATAAAATTCAAAAAAGTTGCATATAAGTCCCTGAGACCACTTTTTGGTCAAAATTGACATAAAATAAATTTTTTTTTTTTTTTAAAAAAAAAAAACAAAAGACATGACATTTGAGTAAAAGAAAGTAGGACCCATAACATGGTATAATATTGTTCGCTTTAGGCCTGAGCCCACATGGATTTGCTTTTGGGCTTTACCTTAAAAGGCCTCATACCAATTGGAGTGACATACCTACATATAAACACTTCATATTTCCCTTATCTAGGCGATGTGGGATTGTGCACTCGTAGCTTGCCAGTGTGGTAATCTGTTAGTATCTCGCACCCGCCCACTACACACCCGCCCACAGGGACATCACAATCCACCCCCTTGGAGGCTTAACGTCCCTTTGTAACACTTCTCGCTCACGAATATCCCCATACCCGGCGGGTCCCTGCCCCTGTTATGGCGGGTTTGGGGACCCATTTATGTAAATGGGGAAGTGATGGGAATTGTATTTGAAATCCCAGAGGGGGACGGGGCGGGGCTGGGGGAGGGTAACCCCACCCCTCCCCGCCTTGTTAATAGTGCATTTTTACAAATCTGCCTTTACATATTATAAAATATTACTAAATTACATAACTATATATATAATATATTTACTTCTGAAAATCCTATATCTATTCCCATGCAGCATACTTGTTGTTGGAAGAATGTTATTTGTTTTGATTGATCATGGTGAAAATTTCCAGACTATTTCAAAAAATGTTATATGTGGTTTTGCTATAAGTTTGATCAGTTGAAATGATATGTTTTAAATTGCTATAATTGTGCTGAAACTTTATTAAATTATTAGATTAAAAAATATTATAATTGTGTTGATTTTGTTGAAGGTGAATTGGAATTTTAAAAAAGTTATGCGGGGATTGGTGGGGCGAGGATGGGGGCTAATGTGGCGGGGCAGGGACGGGGGAGGGGGTTGAAATTTAAATGGGTATGGGGGCGGGGATGGGGGTAAAAAATTGACCGGGGATGGGGAATGAGATCCCCACCCCACCCCGCCTTATTGACATCCCTATTTCCACTGGGTCAGACTCTGATACCATTTGTAATGACCCACTTCCTCACATGGTAAGATATTGTCCGCTGGGCTTAAGTGTTCCGAAATTAGGGTTATTACACAGTGATTGTAATAAAGAACAGTGATCATCCTTGAAATTTATCATAATTACTGTATAAACCAAATACATTATTTATTAGAAATTTATCAGTTAGTTTTACTTCACAGTGGGTAAAAAAAAAAGAAAATCCACTTTACTGCAATAATCAAGAGGAATAAAAGTTCTATTTTTTAATATATCTTTAATTTAGTTCAGAATTCATTAGTAATTAAATTTTTACTGTTTTGTCATTACTTATTGAATATCTTAAATATATTTATTTTAAGTTTAATGATCTTAATTGGATAATATTGAATTGTAACTATTAGTATAAAATTTATGAGAAAAAAAATTAAAAAATAAAAGTTAATGGTTTTAAATTAATCAAAATTTTTGAAATTTTTAGGTTCAATCTGGTTAGATGAAAATTAGTAGTGGTTATATTCTATATTTGTTTAGCATGATTTTTTTACATTGCCTAATTTTTTTTTTTTTTATATTGTTTCATTTATATTAGAGAGGGTATTAATGTATTTTTATGTAAATAGGGGGTAATTGTACCAAATTGATAGTATAGGGGGGTTTTATACCATACAGGGACTGTTTTGCACTATATCGATAGTAAATGCGGGTTATTTGCACTTAACCCAAGGACAAAATAGGATTTTTGAATTTATTTTATGTCAATTTTGATTAAAAAAAGTGGTCAGAAGGGCTTATTTGCACCTTTTTTGAATTTTATGGATTAAAATGCACATTATCAAAAAGTAAGGACTATTTTTGCACAAATCATATCTAGGGTTTTTTTCGCACTTAACCCTAGAATATATAGGTAGTAAGTTAGTAACAAGTAATGTCTTCTTTGATTTGAATTCTTTAACCTCCATTTGGTTAGATGAAATTTGAAAGTAGAAAGTAAAAGTAAAAGAAGTAAAGTAAATGAAAAAAACAAAGAAAAGAAAATTCTATTATGTATTTGCTTAGCATGAAATTTTAAAAAAAGAAAATTAAAAAATTACCATTTTATAATATTTTATGATAAATTTCATGTTATTAAAGAAAGAATATTATTATAAGTTCATAAAACTTTTCAAGAAAATAAAAAAAAATTTCTGCATATATATATATATATATATATTTTGTAGATTTTTGTTTATAAACAAGTTAAATAATTATGGAAAGTAACTTTTGCTCAATTTTTTTTTTTACTAACCAAACTTTTAAATTGTTCTAAAAAAATTCATAATTTTAATTTTATCACTGTTTTCATATAGCCCAAACGAATGCACGTTCCGCTTTACTTTAACATTCGCGTTTCAAATCTCGTCCGTCCATTGATTTCCTTTGGTATTAACATAAAAAAAACTTGCACCCTACATCGAATTACTTGCCATTTACCTCTCAAGTCAACGTCGTTGGAGGACAGACTCTTTCAGCGCCAAATTATATTTTTATATATTTATTATAACGAAGCAGAATCTTCAGAAAACGCATTCCGCGACCACAGATTTTTCTTCGCCACATGGCATGATTAATGTGGAAAGCTGTACACTTTATTTCTGGTGGTAAGAGTACTGAATAATTACCCCTTCATAAGCTATCACTTACACTGAAGACACACCTCTTACCTAATCCGACGGTGGTTCAAAGAACTTTGATCGTTCTATGAATTCCAGCCGTTGAATTAATTCTTTCAGTATGCGGTGGAGATGGGATTATCAAGCGCATCCTACCGTCCAATATTTACAAAATTGAATTTCAAAAGCTCGAGAGGGAGTAGTGAGAGAAGCCTATTTTGCTCTTCTTTCTCTCGTTCCCCTTCTTTCGATTTCTCTCTCTACATCTGAGCAAACCCTCTTTCTCTCCTCCCTCCTTTTCTCTCTCTTTCTCTGTTTATCTATATACGTATGTAAGTTTATATATATATATTTAGGGATCGAGGTTTCGTTCGAGTCAATCCTTGACAATTTTCGCACAACAGTTTTGGCGGATTTCGTCATAAATCTGAGCAGCTAATGACAGTGTTTTTTATTTCAAATTGTATCTTCTGGAGATATTGATTTGAAAATTGATGAATTTGAGGGGATTTGTGAAATTTCTTGTGATTATTGGCGAAGAATAAGCGAATTTGAGTTCATTTATTGGAATATTTAGAAATCGTTTGAATTTGTTTGGTATTTATTTGATTTTGAGTTTGAAGTTGATGGAGCAAGGTGAAGGAGGGGATTTCCCTCCAAAAAAGGCTCAATTGGAAACCCAAGTGTCCACCGCCATGTCGGATATTCCTCAGAAGAAGCTCGCGAGGCAGCTGGATTTCACCGGTTTTGGAGGTGCGTTGCCGACTGTGGTGTTGCCGGAGCATCCTCAGCAGCCATCAACTCCTTCGATGCCACGGCCTCCACAGACGCAGACAATTACGCAAGTGCAGCCGCCACCACATCCACTGCCTCAGCCGCAGCAACTGCTGTTGAAGCCAATGCAATCTCAGGCGTCTCATCCTTCTATACGGCCTGCGTAAGTGTCTATAATTGCCTATAATGTTCCTGTAGCATTTTTTTTTTTTTTGAAAGATTCAGTCTTGGAAGTTGAACTTTTCAAATCTTGAATAAGGGTTTTGATTCTTTTGATTGGCTCTTTCTGATTTGGTTTTATTTGGATGGTTCTTTACGGTCAATTTTAACTATACATTCCTATATATTTATGAAGATAACTTGGGATGTTTGAGTTATCAGGGGTTTAAAATCTCCCTCTTAGAAGACAAGTTAATTATGTAATAGTTAATATGATCTCACAGTTCAAGTTTAGAACATAATAGTTTTTTCAGATGAGGTGGTGGTGCGCTATTTAATCATTTACTTTGCCTAAACTTGTACATTTATATTCCTTCCATGTTTAAAACCGAAAGTTTGTTAATTTAAATTTGGATGGGTTTGTTTTTTATTTTGAGGTGATGAGGAGTGGGTTAGGATCACCAAGAAAATTCTCTTTTTAGTTATCTTTCTTCAAGCTCTTCTTTTTCTTTTCCTTTCTTTTTTCTTTTCTTTTTTTTTTTTTTTAATTAAGGTGAAGCAGAAAATTTAGTGAATTAAGTGAGACTTTGATTGTGTTTGAGTATCTGATATTCTCCTGATCTGGTAGTGTGTTAATTTTAATCTGATGGATGTGAGTAACGAAGGATAATGCCTACTTAGTAGTTTTACAATTTTTTGCCTCATCTACAAGTTGAGAGGAATTATGAACTTTAATCATCCTGTGAATGGTTTTATTGCTTCTTTTTCTACAGATCTGCTTCATCTTGCAATTTTGTGGGGTTATTTTGTTTGTAGTTCCATATTTTCTGTTACATAGCTAATATAATATCATAAAGCCAACTTATTGGGATGCGGTTGTATTATAATTTGATCAACAATCACTTCAACTTTCAAAAGGAGGTCATCAGATCATCCTATTAAGCGAGGGTTTATTTCTCTCTCTCTCACTTTCTCTCTCACAACACACATTCGGAGACGTAAATGCATTGACTTGTTTCTGTTCTTGGAAAAGACAATGTACAACAAGAACTAAAATCATTTCGTATTTTTCTGTTTTTCTTCTTATAGTTGATCAAAAATTGATGCAACTGATATCCTATGACTAGGTATTTATATCTCTTGAATTTTTAATGACTTTGGTTGAGATATTTTTGTATGAACTTGAATATATCCAAGATTTTTGAGAATTTATTATCATGTGCTAACCTTTGTTTGGAAGCTCAAAGCATTGTCATTAATTTTACCAAAACATTGTTCTTCTTTCTTCAGCAAACAGGAATCTCCAAGACCACGGCCAAGGCAAAATGTTGATGTAAAAGATGGTACTCCAAAGAAACAAAAACAATGCAACTGCAAACATTCACGATGCTTGAAGTTGTGAGTACATGTATTTATGTGCATTTTCAGTAATTATAATTGTTGGGAATCAGGATGATGAAGTAAACCTTTAACATATATTTCATAAGGATTTACAATTACAGTAATCGAAAGGATTCATATTATTTCATAGTCGTGAGAGCTTTTGAACCTAATATATGCTGAGAAGTGTTTTGATGAACTATCTCTGTTATGTATTTATTTTAATTTATTGTGACAAGAGTGCCCTTGAGTTAAATGTCATAATTTATAGTGTACTAGGACTAGTGAAAAATATTACTCTGTGTTTTTACTTGTTTCATTGCATATACATATATTTGTTTGGCAGATGTAGTTATTGTGCTGAACTTTGTTCACTTTGTTGCTGATTTACAACTAATGCCTTCTATTTTCTTCTCTTGTTTGTTTAATAAGAGATTCATATAAAAAGTGTGTATTTGTGTTGTACAAATATTTGTTTAGAAATGCAGAATAAGATATGGATTTTGCAACTTATTGCTATATGATAGGTAACTAAATCTGCTTAAGAGGCTTCACACTTCCACTCTCAATTTCTAGAGGAGGAAGCCGTGACAAGTATTAGATGTGTGACCTGCGAAGGACTGACAGAACCAATCAACACTATGCCACAATAGATTTTTTTTCCCTAGTTGGTACCCCCACACCCACCCACCCCATCCTCCTCCAAGGAATTCTTTGCACCCATGAGGAGTCGAACCAACAATACCTTTCCTTTTTAGGTCATTCGCATACAAATGTCAGAATAGATTGGTTGTTGATTTAGTGTTTTCTTTTGTAAAAAAAGCTGTAAAGCTACCTGTAATGACATTTTTCCTTAATACCTTTCCTTTTAGGTCATTCACATACAAATGTCAAACATCTTTTCTTTAAGAAGGATATATGCATCAAGCATTATGAATTTGCATGTATCTTATCCATACACAAGAGTTCATACTTATGCATATATGCATATATGCACATATGCTTTTATGTATTTGTTCTCTTAATATTACGTAGATGATCTGTGGGTTCTTCGGACCCACAATATTTTCAAACCTGATGCTTTCATGCTCTCTTTCCGTCGTTCTCATTCTCACTCTGGCGCTAGCCGCGCCACGATGTGGTCTCTTAGGCTACAATCTACATGTACTATTTATGACATGTTAATTTGTTAGCAATGGCAAGTACATTGGAAGGCTATTGCCTCTGCTCATAAGCATTTTACCAACAGTGAGATTCACCTTTTGGACTTCTGTAAAGCCAAAGGAAATAGTTTATTTTTACTGATATTTGGATTTCATGGTGGTTCCAAAGTTAATTGTCCGGCAACTTTGTCTTTTGAACTACATGCAACATATTAGCTATGATAAATCTTAAATATGATACAAAGCTAATTCTGTTAATGTGTTAGTCAGGTATTGTGAGTGTTTTGCATCTGGAATATACTGTGATGGGTGCAATTGTGTAAATTGTCATAATAATGTTGAAAATGAGGCTGCCAGGCGAGAAGCTGTTGAAGTTACCTTAGAGCGTAATCCAAATGCATTCAGGCCAAAAATCGCTAGCAGTCCACATGGAACTCGAGATACTAGGGTATGTATGTCTGTTCAAATTTAAGTACAGACTACATTTCTGAAATGCATTTATCATATTTCACATATAAAAGATACTAAGATGATTTTTTTGTTCAATATTGATTTAACAAATTAAATACTAATTGTCTTAGCTATTATTTATTGCTGATGCTGTTAGTGCTCTGAGAGGGCTTTTACTAATTTTTAGCAGATTTAGTGCAAAAATACTGTTCCATTTTCTTATACAGCTTTGTTCTAAAACATTTAATTAGAGTACATGGCTTCAGGATTTGATACAGCAGTGCCTATAGTCAACTTGGGTTGTGTGAGAGATCACAAGTACCTCAGATTTTATGCCTAACTTTCTAGCATAAACAAATATTATTTCTGTTAGGTTTCACGCTTTGAAAATGTCATATTTTTTTTTCCTGCAATGGTGAAATTTTGTATTCAGCCTTCATGAAAGGATTGGTTATTATTATGTTCAATACCTACGCTGTTCAGAAGGAGTCTGGTGCCGTCAATGTCATTTTATGAGTTGAATACATTAGGATTCTTTCTTGCTTGTAAATATGCAATAATGTTGGTTTCATCCGTCTAAATAAATTGTAAATTCTTAATTATTCCTTTTCATTTCCTTTTCTTTGAGATAAACCATTGAATCTCTAAACTTGTTCAAGAGTTTGTGTCATAGACTTATCAATAAACATTTCGTTGATAAAAATATGGAACAAGATCAAGAAACGCTCCAAAGAATTATTCCTTGTGCACGTTTGGTCCAAACCTTGCTGCATATTTCATCCAAAATCTTCACACAGCATAAGTGTGTTCTTAGCAATCTAAATATTCATGAATAGTCAAATTGGATAGATCATAGGAGAACCTGGTTGCTAACAATTATCGAAGACAATAAAATAATCCTGGAGTGTTCTAGTTAGAGATCCTATCGGTGATATGGATTCTAGTTTCTTTAACTTATATTGTAGCATTTTCTAGGACGTGCATTTGTTTTGGTGCTGGGGAAGGGGTAGAGGAGGCGAGAGTAATTGTTGGGTCACCATGGATCAAGGCGTACTTTGTTGGCTTTGCAAGGGATGCTTTTGTGTAGTCCCCGCCACTACTCAGCTGACCACAATTTAGTACCAACTTTCCTGCCCAATCCTGCCCTGTACACATATTCAGAGGGAAGTAAGCTGGACTCAACACAGTAACACACTATTAAAACCTGTAGTTTAACCTATTAAAAAAAACAAAATCACTGTCATAATGAAGTTTGAACAGATGGAAGAAAGGGTTCTGGAAAACACATTTTCAAGCATTGCTTCAAATGTGCAGTATGGGAGAGACAGACCAATAGTTATTGGCTTCATTTGTTAATGGTCCTTTCGTCCTGGTGTGATAGACTGTGTGATGTGGTTTGAAGCACATGTTTCTGTTCAGATCCAGCCACCAGTTAGCCCCCTAAATCAGTTTATCAACATCCCTTTCCTCACTTCCCACACCACTTGGAAACTTTGATTTCCCTCTCTCACACACACCCACACACCCACCCACCCACCCATGCATATGCACACGTATACACACGCACATGTGCATGAGATTTTGGACACCAGTTGGCCCTTCCTGATATCAGGAGAGGGTACCATGCTAATCGTGGTCAATGAGACTTCTTCTACAGTTCCTTTACTCTCTTTGCGCTCAGCTTAGGGCTGAAATTGAATATTACATAAGAAGTCCATAATTTGGTGCATCTAAGTGATGAGTGGGACCATCTTATGGGGAATATAGAATGTGGCACTTGCATGTTCACATGGTTTTCTCTCCTTGAAAGTTTCCAGGATATCAAAGTTATCATTCAACAATCGAATTTTACCTCCTAATAATCAGTTTTCTTATTTTATCGTTTGACTTTAGTAGTTAAGAATGGCAGTTTTTAAGAAAAGAAAATTGTAAAATTTTGAGATGACAGGTAAAGTTGGTATTATCTTGACATTGTAATATTGACTCGTATACATGGGGGCTTTTCTGAATTAAGGCCTGTTGACCCTTAATGAGCTTCAGCATACACTGAGAGCAACAATTGCAGTTCATCAGGCACTTTTCATTTTGCATTGTTGAGTGTGCCAATTGTTGCGAAACATGAAGCACATGTCACAAAAATAGGGCTCTGTAAGACAATTGGATGCTTGTGTCCAAATTAGAAACAAGTAAAATAATCCTCAACTGCAATAATTTCAGGATGCAGCAATACATATAAGTTGTCAAGTAAACCCTTAGAGAAAGAAGAAGAAATATTCAATTATCTTGGTACATATATTCTTCTTCTTCTTTGTCTTTTCTGAGACATACATTTAGTGAAAGGATATATAAATGGTTGATATTACTGCATTAAATTATGTATACTTTTTTTCAGTAGTGCAAAACTCATTTGTGCAAGATGGTCTTTTTCATTTTTTTTATACTTTTATCTGAATATACGTGATTAGAGATTATGGAATCGAAAAGTCCTAGAAAGAGTGAAACTAGAAGTGGTTCTCAACTAATGAAATTAAATGGACTTTGCATTAGAAATATAGTTATTTGTTGTTGTATATCCTAAACATTGCATGTTTTCTGGATGATGCTGACAATTACATCTTGCTTTGAAAGGAGGAGGCTGGGGAAGTTTTAGTGGTCGGAAAGCACAACAAAGGATGCCATTGCAAGAAATCAGGATGCCTTAAAAAATACTGTGAATGCTTCCAAGCCAACATTCTTTGCTCTGAAAATTGCAAATGCATAGACTGTAAGAATTTTGAAGGAAGTGAAGAGAGGCAGGCTCTCTTCCATGGAGATCATGCCAACAACACAGCATATATTCAGCAGGCAGCAAATGCTGCCATTACTGGTGCTATTGGATCCTCTGGTTTTGGATCCCCTCCATTATCCAAGAAAAGAAAAGGCCAGGAACTCTTTTTTGGGCCAGCTGCCAAAGATCCATCCATTCACAGGCTTGCACAATTCCAACAGGTAAAGTTGATCTTGGCACCCTTGATTGAGAAATATTTCTGGACTTATTTGTTGGCGAAAAATTAGCAACTATGTAGTAATAATTTTCAATGTGAACTGAATCAGCTGAGCCTAGCTGCTTGCTTGTTTCAACAAAGATGGGTACACTAATAGCAGTAACTTAATAATTTGGATCTTGGAAACATGAATGCAATCTATTTGGAGTGTTTTAGAACTTTTTTCATTTTGCTTTATCTTGTGTCTGGTGATATTTATTTATGTGGCTTAGCATTGAGAGACTCATTCTCACTTCATAACTCACGAGTCATAATAGTATTTGAAGCATGTGTTTTCTATCTTCTAACAGGCAAACCATATTAAGTCTTCTGAACCTTCTTCAATCCCTGTTACTCGAGCTAATAACACAGCAATGCTGGGCCCATCAAAATTTACATACAGGTATAAATAGTTGTTTCCACATATTTTTCATTTAAGTACGTAATAAAAAACTATCAGATTATTCATCTAAGTACCTTGTCACAAAACTAACTAGTGTAGCATGGTTGAAGATCTCTTTTAGCAGACGTCATCCAACCGCAGGACTTAAAGTATCTTTGCTCGCTTTTGGTTGTATATTCAGGAGAAGCTGCCAAGACACTTGCAGGTATTTGCAAAATTATGTACATACACTTTCAAAATTTTTTTTTTCCTAAAGCACTTTCAATTTATATACTTATAATTAATTTGAGGTACTTAAATGGTCAATACATATTCATGTGGGTATGCACGAGCGTGCGTGTAGACACTAAGGGAGTAGCATTTTCCATTGCATTTGATATATATATATATATATATATATATATATTTTCCTGTAAACAGTAGTAGTAGATGATCTTTTAAAAGATTTATCATAGGTAGTTTAGTTTCATAGAATCATTTTAAAGGTGAAAAGAAACAGCAAAACTTTAATTAATTAAGAAATTTTCTGAAATTAAAGATTTATCAGAAAACGTTATTAGATGTAAAAAATTATTTTTCTTTTGACATCGATAAAGAACTATGTTTTCGGTTTTAGCCTATGATGATGAAGTTGGGTTTTGGCCTATGGTAGTAGTGATATTAATTATTAGATAGTTCATTTTGAACACACAAGAGGGCTAACTTTAGTACTATACTGTTGCTGCTGTCTGGAACCAATTGCATAACAATCTATTCAGAAGTATCAAGTAACTCATCAATAACATTCGAATCATGAAACTATTTAACATGCATTTTAAGTTTTCATCAGTCAGTATTAGTAAATAACTGTTTAATTAAATTATTTTAGGGCCCAAGGGCAGCCAAGTTTTTAAAAGGGGGAGGACCTAGGCAAGCTTGGGTCTAAACCAACTACCACACACCCGCCCGCCCGATTCGGGCTGGGGCTTGGCTTGGTTGTTAAATCCGGTTAATTTTTTTACTTATCAAAAAAAAAAAAACATTCGAATCATGAAGCCCAAGTATTAGAGAACACAAACCATGTTTCCGAAAATTGAAATGTAATATCATTAGATAGTGTTCATTTTGAACACATAAGAGGGCTAACTTTAGTACTATACTGTTGCTGCTGTCTGGAATCAATTGCATACCAATAACTATAAACAGTCTATTCAGAAGTATCAAGTAACTCATCAATAGCACTTGAATCATGAGGCCCTGAGTATTAGAGAACACAAACCATGTCTCCGAAAATCGAAATGTCAATACTTCCAGCAAAATAAGTTGAATTCAATGGAAACTTTTTCTTTGCATTTTGAGATTAGGTTTTAAGTTATCAAGTGACATCAAACCTGAAGCTATTTTACCAGAAAATGTAGCAAACAGATTTAAGCAAAATTATGTGGGTTACCCCTCAGTCCATTCACTGTGGATGCCAATACAATTGTTGGACAGGTATGTATGACTTAGTTGGGTGGCTACAAGTTGTCTGGTGATGCCATTCTAACAGGATCCAGAATTATCTGGACTGATGGGGAAAGGAAAAAGAAGAAAAGGGAATAAGAAAAAGTAAGAAAGAAAAGAAAAGGCTAGGATTAGGATTAGGATTTGGAATTATGGACAAAATAGAGAGCCAGATATAGATAAAACGTAAGGGATGAATGAATCACATGGACTACTCTTTCCATAATCCATATCACGTTACAAGAATATGTGTATAGTAAAGAATACCCCTCAACCTCATTAAAAATATTACTTTTAAGCATATCCTTTTATGGGAATAATTTATGCATGGCTATGTTATTTAGAATTAGTTTTGTATCGAATAATATCTTTAAAATAATATATTTATTGAATTTCTTTCCAAAAATCTTGTGTAGGAACATAAATTTACAAATACCCTTAGGTTCCATTTGGATCGATGGTCTTTAAAATCATATGTAGGAACATAAATTGTAATTTGAATTTAGTTTTGATTTTTATTTGAATATAATAACATTATGATTTAGTAGTTTAGATTTTGATTTTTAACAAGTTGTACCGATTGATTTGAGAGCTTTACCTGTGTGGATTTCAAATATTAAGATGTTAGAAGTTATTTGAAATCCATGTCAACAGGGATCCTGGTTGCACAATAACCTAATAAACGACATTCTCATGCCTCCACTCTAACATCCTCTTTAGCTTTCAATAGAATTTCAATAGCCAATCTTTCATTTAAACCTAAAAATCCTCTACTTCAAAATCCAATAATTCATCAAAATGTACCATTAAGACTCCTATTGTTGTCTAACTTTAGTATATTCCTGTAAGGGAGAGATGCGGGGTTCAAGTGTGTCTGTGGTACGTGTCCCAAAAAAAATAATAAACAAATAAAAAAAAACAAAAGATTTCCATATGATAAAAAAGGGGAACATAGAAGGAACATTTATAATTCATTTATTAGAACATGCTAGAATACTCATATAAAAAAACACAACTTTAAGATTTCCAAATTAGTTTTTTAGCACATATAAGTCTCATCCTTCATAATAGACCTGTTCAATTATCAGCAATACCAGCTTCCAACTACACAGGTCCTTCTATTGATTTTTTTGTTCTAATACATCCAGACAAAAGAAATGCAACGGAGAATCAGGCAGAAGATCGGACCGAAAATTCGGTTGCTTCATCAAGTCAAGACCGGTTGCAAAACCAAAAGGAATTTGATGTTGAGAAAGCTGTGGCAGATGATTGTTCAAGTGGGAACCAGGCTGAGAAAATGGGTCCTGATGAGTCCAGTTCAGATGGTGCCGATGTCTCAAAAGGAAGGCCAATGTCTCCTGGAACGCTAGCATTGATGTGTGATGAACAGGATACAATGTTCATGGCTGCTGCTTCCCCAAAGTTAATGGACCATGGCTGCAACCCGTCTCATTTGCCTTCTGGGCAGGGCATCACTGAGGCCTATGCAGAGCAGGAAAGGATTGTCTTAACACAGTTTCGGGACTGTCTTAATAGGCTCATCACTCGCGGAGAAATAAAAGGCAGGTTTCTCTCGCTTATTCTAAATTTTCAGAAGCTATACAAGTAAAATTGCGAAGGAAAAAGCTTTGCAAGAGGAATTGCAAAACTAAAAAGTTGAACATTTTGCTGGCAAGATCCACAATATTATTGCTCTTTTATATTCTTGACTTATCTGAATATCAGGGTAACTAATGACGCTCACCTTTTATATATTACAGAAACAGAGTGTTCTTCATTGGCCAGAACTGAATCAGGAGGTCAAAGAGACCTGCTCAGCAATGGCAATGCAACTGCCAGAACAGAAACAAAGATTCAACAAGAATCCTTTGGCAATGGTGTTGAAAAATCTGCTGTACCACCTACACCCAAGATGTCTCAAATGGTTTCTACAGCAACTGCTGCTTTTAACAATGACCCGCTTTCAAAGATTCCATCCCTTGCTAAAAATGGGGATGCAAAACCGACGACTGAAAACAAGATGTAAAGATTTAGGAAATAAGATTGACCCACAGGTATGCTACTGCAGCTCTGTAATATTAGGCCATTGTTCATTAGGGCTTGTTTTCCATGCAGCAGCAAGATTATATTTGGGCCTCATTGTTAGAATTGATCAAGATCTGATCTTTTTCATTATTCTTTAATATAATTTTCTAATCAATTTTGCAGTCTCATTTACAGTTAGTTAATTGTCGTGACCATTTTAGCTTGTACTGGCAAGATACAGGGATTATTTTTATCCGTCCACGATGTGGAGAAAAATGGACCAATTTCATAAATTTTGTTGTTTATAACTTAATCCCTTGCAAGAGTAATTTTGGGAGTTTTGATTTGTTTGATGTGTTCTGTTTGGTTACTGCTCAGTTCTTGTGACTTCTGTCATACTGTTGATATGAATATGTATGTATGCATGCAGATATCTCTGTCAAGTGTATATTTTTACTGACCGCTTCCTCCAGATCCTCATCACATTCATACCCTCACTGTTGATAGCCATATAACCCATACCTGTCCAAGTGGTTACAATTTAAAGGCATGTTTCTGTGTCGATTGTGCAATGTGCAGCCCTGCTTATTAGTAAACATCAAGGGACAGCAATATATCTCCATATATAAAATATGGTGAAAATGTGAGAATAGCATAGAGATAACCAAATGTCCCCATTGACGCATATTCATGAATCAATACAATTATCATTTGGGTCAGGCTCAAACTTACCCTCCAGTAAGAAACAGGGTGTCCACTATTAAAATCAAAACCCAAAATTTATTTTTCTTAAAAAACAGGCCTCAAAGAACAAATGTTCCACCATGTTTTCTCATGGATCCATTACAGTGTTGTGTTTGATTGCCAAAGTTGGAATCTTCCCATTTCATTAACATCATAAAATTTCTCTTTTAAGAACAGATGCATTAAACTCAATTTCGCACCAATGTTGGCAGCCACTTCTATCCACCTCAAGTAAAACGGTGTAGGCATAATGGAAAATTTGGACCAATGTATTGCTTACGAGACTCTCCTCATTGTCACATATACTCTAATGAAAAAAGCATATTTAGGAACAATGTATCTAATCACCAATACCATAACGGTCAAGAGTTCAAGTACCCGTAAGGACAAGTGGGTATGTGAGTGTTTCTTGCCAATGGAAACAAAAAATCACAAATACCACTAACTGTCTTTGACATGCCCTTGTAGTCCTGATAAATATTCAAAGAAAAAATCTCTCACACACACACATCAGCCATTTGGGAATTTGCAATAACTTGGTTGAGCTATCAATGCGTTACAAAAACTGGAGAAACAAAAGATGAGATTGATATTAGATATAACATTAGCAGGTACTTGAGAGGATTCAATGCAATGTGATCATGTGGATAAGTCTTATGTTCAACTCTACGGCTGATATTTTTATATGCAACAGATACCTGAAAATGAAAGGGTGAAAGAAGGTGTGATGATACAACCAATTGAAACTTCAGTTTCAGAGTTTTAAGGATAAATTAGCAAAATACATTTCATCTTTAATACAGTAGGTAAAGGGGGCAACTCAAGAATTTTAGCCATTCGTTCTTTTTTCTTCAGTCACCCTTTCTTTGGCATAGCCGCAAGCCTGGTATACATTCTCGCCATTGATTGGTATCCTCTAAGATCACCAGAGCGCAGAAGATTTCCTGCACAGAAGACGATTCATACCATTCAGGAAACCACAGATGAATTAAAAGAGAGGACAATGCATCTAGGTCGAATTTCATGGGAATGACTCAATGAGGCTACTACTTAGAAGCCAAAAAATCATAATAATTTAAAGCTGTGGTCAAAACGCTGCACATACTTTCTTAATTCATGGCATCTGTTTTAATACATTTGTCCAGTGGATGGCTTTCTCCTTTTATACTTCTATGTGTGCGGTGTAAAAGTTCATACAAGTTAAGTCGTCACAACAAATAAGCTGAGCTAAAAACATCTCAAAACCACCAACTTTGGTAAAGTGAAATTGACATATTATGATGCCCTGATTCACATAGACAGTTAATCTGTTTTACAGCTGTCTTGTCCTGATTCACATACACAGTTAAACTTGGAACATGAAATTGCCTGAAACCAACCAACCTGAATCACAATTGAGTGGGCTATCAGGTTCAGGATGGGCCATCAAAGCTATTATAGCCCTACACACAGACTGGAGCGTCCAAGCTGGGCTCCATGCATTCTTCAATATATCTAGGCAAATCTCTCCTGTCTGCAAGCAAAAAAGATAATCAACAAGAACAGTATACAACCAGATTCTTTTTGGGGTGGAGGGTGGAGGGACCAAGGGAGTTTTACACAACAGGACCGTCCCACTTCCTTACCAAAAGAAAAAGAAAAAAGATGCATTAGATTTGGTTTCCAAACTCGTGACATATTTTGCAAAATCCAACAGGTGAGATTCATAGAGTCGCTCGCCCCTAAAGGAAAATTATAGGTATGACAATATCAGTAGCAAATTATGCTTTATCAAATAGGGGATGGTTAATTAAGAAGTTCTTGATCTCAAAACCTTAGCGTCCAAAATAACTCCAACATTCTCATTTAAGATATGAAAATTATCATTTTGTAGAAAGTGGAGATATGGTAAGATTTAAATTAACCTTGATGTCATGATTTGGTCCTTCATGATAGAGCTGCTGCTGCTTCTTCTTTTTCTTTTTTAGACTATCGAAATACGCCCGTAATCATGTCCCAAATTTTCAGTCCCTAACCGCCACTTCCAATCCAGGTTCACCACATTCCACTAGACTAAAGGTTAATGGTCAAGATTCCGAGGTTCATGACAGCATTCAAAGGAAAATTTCATGGACCACACAGTTTTGAATGAACTTACAAGATATTCAGAATAGTGAAGCAATTTCTATCAATCATTGACCAGCTAATATGCTAAATCTTTTGAAACGAGAAGGTCTTGTTGGTTCTAGTTCCAAACTTTTGTTCTTAGTTCTTATTAAAACTTAAAAAAGTCTTTGCAAGAAGTAATCAATGACATCGAGGAAGTTTCCCAAAAGTCAATATGAAATCCACGCTCCTGTTTAACCAGCATTGATGGAAAAGGTTGTTGACATGGAAATACCAAAGCCAAAACTAAAAATCCTAAATGGTAGATGATACACAAACCAAAATTTGGAATCTGTAAGTCCAAATATTCATTTGCTATGCTTCATAATGCTATTATTTGCTGCAGTTGGAGATAAGAGTGTTTTTCTCTTTTCTTTTGTTTTGCACATGTTGAATGTTTAGGCATCTCAAAGTTTAAAGATCAAATTCTAGATGTTATTTCTTTTTGTTAACAAAATACAATATAAAGTTTAAAAATTCTGTAGAATTGGCTGCTAAAAGAGTTTGTATATAGCTTGATACAAAACAAGATTTTAACTTGAAGCCAAAACTGCGGCAGGCTAGTGATCAGAGTGCTGGTATGGCATATAAAAGGGTGAGGTGCCGTCAAGGGTTCATTTTCTTCCTAATGTCATCAAAAATATATTTTAACTAGTGTAAAAAGAGGGTTCAATTTTCCATGTTTACTTTTACAACTGTCGACCATATAATACAAGGAGAGCTGTACCAGAAACACCACATATATATATATATATAAAAAGAGTATTAGTAAAGAGAACAAACACACATCTATTGTCTGTGGATATAATCAAGAGCCATGGCAGAAGTTCTTACCTTAAAATGCACATTTGGATGAAATATTTTTGTTAAGAATCGCACTTGAGGAGGTTGCAAGGGGTAGTGCTCAGGAATGGCAAATGCAAGCTGAAATACACCACCTTCAAAAGGAGTTTCTGATGGTCCCTTAATATATAAAAGGAAACAACACCTCAGTTACCCAGTACACTGGCAGCATTAAATATTAAATCCATTTCATTGCAACAAGACTTACTTTGACAAGAGCAGTCCACTTTAATATGTTGTTATCATCACAAAATAGCTGGATATCAGAATCAACTGCTTTTTCTCGCTGTATTTCCTTGTATTCCTTAAAAAGCCTTGCCCTTGATGTCTGTAAATAGAAGACAATCAGTAATACAAAAGAAGCGATTCAAATTTAAATATGTTGCAGAGGAGCTTCGTGTAAAAATGATAAGATATATATCTGGAAAAGAGGTATTTTTGGATTTTCAACGGAAATATTTCAGTTATTTTCTTTTTCCAAAATTCATCCTCTAAAATGGAATCACAACTGAGAATGGGACCCTCATCACCAATAATGATAAAAAAGGAAGCTCAATCATTTAACGAAATCTTATTCTGCCCTTTCACAAACCTCTTTTACATGCTATAAAACACAATGAGCTCATTCTTCTATGTAAGCACAAATGCTGCGTTTGGGAGCACCGAATCGGCACCTTGGATTTGGTGCTCCCAAATATAGCAAAAGGGCTAGTCAATCGAGTGGATATTGGGGCATAATGTGTGCAAGCTAATTCTGAAACTGCCACTAAATAATTGATCAGTTAGCTATGGCCCTCTAAATAGATCAAGGAGGTGGAGGATTCATACAAAAACAATCAAGTAATCAATCACTTGATGCATGCTATTGAACTTATCAACTTCCAATATATCACTTTTGGGTTACATTCACATACATACATCAAAGAAATACTAGAGAGAATTTACTCTGAACCCATATTTTGATTTGATGTAATATATAAAAGCCCCATAACAACAAGTCTAAAAAGATCAAAAACTAACCTGCATATTAACCGCAATCCCGTGATCCGGTGCAACTCAAAACCAATTAATCCCAAACTGCAAAATTGCCCAAAGAATGAAATAAAATATATTTAACATACATATGATTCTTCATATAAATATCACTCTGAAATTTTCAAGTAGTTGGATAACGAAATTGACATTTTACGCAAAGAATATCAAGCAAAACAGAACCTAACTAAAACTGTTAATTTGCTAAAAGAAGAAAAATCACAGATTATCAAAACAAGAATTATTACTTTAACAGTTAAATCAGATACAAAGATTAATAATATTATAAAAAACGCAGACGAAATTGAGATCAGACCTGAAAGGTTTGGACTTTGGAGTCGTCCAAGAGGAAGAAGAGAGACAAACAACACCCTCCTCGAGTTATTAAAAAATAATAATAATAATAAAAAGCAGTTCTTTTGTTGAAACGACGCCGTTACGTATGATTATGTAGTTTTCACAACACGTCGTCGTGTTATGAATCAAGCAATTTTAGGTGGTCATGGAAAACGGGCGGGTTTTGACCCATATTCAATATCGGGTCACGAGATCTGTGGAGACGACGCCGTACTGGTATTTGTAGAACGGCTCGTACTGCATAAACCCTTGGAATTCGATAGTTGAAAAGCGTAGGCTTCAATGGCGTCTTCGACTGTGCTCAGTAGGTTATCGTCTCGTCTGCAACATGTGGGGATCAAACTCAACAAAGGCTCACTCTCAGCTGATATATCACTGATGAAATTGAGCTCTCAGTCTGCCTCTTCCGCTAGACGCATTTCTCGCATGTCACGGTGGGATTTTAAGCTTTTATCATGAACCCCTCTCTCTCTACATATATATATATATACACACACACACTGATACATACGCATCTATATATTTATATATGTTTTGTGTGGTTAGGTTACCTTTGGAGTTGAGCAGCGTGGAATCAATGATGCCATTGCACAGTGCTATAGCCTCAGCTCGATTGACATCGAGCTTGTCGATTGAGTCTCAGAGCTGGGGATTAATTCCTCAAGGTGCGCTTTTATTTTCTTTTCGATTTTTTGTATTTGTTACAATTTTTTGTGTCTTTAATATATGAAATTTTGTTAGATAACTTATTTGATATTTTGTATCTGTAACCTTCAGTTTCATTGTTTTATTACAGTGTTGCCCAGTAAATTGTTGTAGACTGTTGTCATGTGAGGGTCAATTGACCCTAATATGCATATATTTGATTCCAGAAATGGGTGCATGAGATTACTTTGGAGGTGAAATTTCGACATAACCTTCATCCTTATATAAAACTTTAGGGTACTACAAATTGTAATGAAATATTTGGTTGAAACAAATAAAAAGTGTTGGAAACTGTATATTGATATCAAAATTTGACCAGACCATTATGATAGTATTCTGTGAGGTTCAATTCTCTTGAAATACTATTGAACATCTTTCATTTCTTATTTCACTGTGGCTTAAAATGAATTAAATTAAGAATTGGGATATGAGTTGTTTATGCTTTAAGTGCATGGTAAAATGGTGCACAAAAGAGTGGTTTCTCACAGCCTTATGAAAGAATGCAGAGTTGCTATTACCTAAATTCAACAAAGACCTTTTAATATTTTGATTCGGATAAGTGAGAAGACTAAAAAAGAAATGATTAAAAATATGCATTTTGGGAATCTTTGGAGTAGCTTCAGAAGGTCTTTTTTTTTTTTTTTTAAATGACCGCCAAATAGCAGCAGAGCGTGGAAATTTTAGATGCAGTGATGTTTGTTTGTGAGTTCTAGGTGCAAATAAGGGGGAGAAAGTGTGAAATCGCCATAATAGAATTACTTCTAATCTATCGTTGAACAAAGTCAAAATATTTAACATACTGAAAGGGGGGGATGTAACTTTTGTTGCCTTTCTCAATGGTTGGGATAGGTTTCTGTCTTTATCATTGGGCTACACTGTTGTCATGTGATGGTCAATTAACACTAATATGCATATGTTTGATTCCATAAATGGGTGCATGAGATTAATTTGGAAGTGAATTTTCCATATAACCTTCGTCCTTATATAAAATATTAGGGTACTACAAATTGTAATGAAATATTTGGTTGAAACAAATAAAAGGCGTTGGGAAAATGTATATTGATATCAAAATTTGACCGGACCATTATGAAAGTATTCTGTGAGGGTCGATTCCCTTGAATACTATTGAACATCTTTCATATCGTATTTCACTGTGCCTTAAAAATGAACTAAATTAAGAATTGGGATATGATTTGTTTATGTTGTGAGTGCATGGTAAAATGGGAAACAAAATAGTGGTTTCTCACAGCCTTATGAAAGAATCTAGAGTTGCTATTACCTAAATTCAATACAGACCTTTTGATATTTTGATTCTGATAAGTGAGAAGACTAAAAAAGAAATGATTTAAAATATGCATTTTGGGAATCTTAGGAGTAGCTTCAGAAGGTGATATTTTTTAAGTGACCACTAAATAGCAGCAGAGTGTGGAGATTTTAGATGTGATGATGTTTGGGAGTGAGTTCAAGGTGCAAATAAGGAGGGGGAGGAAGTGTGAGGTCAACATAATAGTATTACTTCTAATCTATGGTTGAACAAAGAAAAAAATTGAAATACTGAAAGGAAGGGAACTCAGGGAAGTAACTTTTGTTGCCTTTCTCAATGGTTGGGATAGGTTTCTGTCTTTTTCATAGGGTTACTTCTGGTTTCCTTCTAATCAGTTCATTTATGTTGTTTATGTAATGTATTGTTGCTCGTACATCTTGAATTCCTCATCTTAATTGCTAAATTTGATTAATGTTTTTGGGGAACATAAGCTTTGAATGTGTTGCTTCAAAATAGCATTTAGTGTTACATTACTCTGCTCAACATGACTTGTGGGATTTTATTTTGCTCTTATAAGTATTCCTTCAATTTGATTGTTGTGGTTGATGTTACCCACTTCTTTAAGTCTTTGCAACACCTTATTTTCTCTCTTCCTGTAATGGTAATTGAATCAAGAAAATAACATTGTTAACATAGAACATCTTTCGGCTACTAGCCTTGATTATCACCTCCTCTATACTCAGCAAATTTGCAATCTATAGTCATTTTTGGCTTCAATTATCAAAAGCATGTGGTCTCAAATATACCCTTCTTCATCCTTGTGTCCAAGATTGGATGTTTTGGGATCAAATATTCTTCTTAGCAAGTACTGAGGGGTCTACTCACCTTACTTTATAGTGGCTTTGACTTTTAATGGTCATAAGAATGGCGAAACACGAAAAATGTTACATGAAATACCTGTTTATGATTCAAATAGTACAAAATCTTGTGTATTAATAGCCTCCCCCATATTGTTGTCCTGGATCTTCTCTTACTATTTGAGAACTTTACAATCCTTGTTTAAATCCTCTGTGAAACTTGTGTGGCTTCTGAATCTTTGAAGATTAAATGATCCATGGACCAAAATGGTCCACTGCTAGTAATCGGGTATGTGCTACTATCATTACATTATAAAGTATATGTTACTGAGTTGCTCTTATTATTTGTATATATCAAGCATGCACTATATAATGTTCCATGTGACAACAATTATATATCTTTAATAAATTCTCTCATTCATGTTGCAGGCATCTCAATGCCTTTATGACAAACCGAGATGCAGCGAGTCATTGAGAGGCAGATTTTCTTTTGAGTAGGAATGTAAGTCGCATGTAGTCTTATTTTCATTTTGACTTCAAAAGTCCCGGAATTGAATGGTTTGTTGGTACTCTGAAGATCTGCCTGTGCTGGTGTTGTTTAGCTCTCTGTTACCTTCCATCTTTTAACTGTATTTTTCTTTCCAAAGGTATGATGAATTGTTATCTGACTGTAAGAGGTTCCATAGCACTTTGTAGCTTGGCCTTCTTTTCTTTTTTTTTGTTCTCAGTTACATGTTTCTTACTTTATTCCGGATTTTTCATTACGTGCATTGTTCATCTTCTTTCATTAATATGGCATTGGATGATTTATGCTATTCTGATAACCAATAAAATTCTCTTAATTAACTAGCCTTTTCCTCAGATTACTTTGGCAAATAGGTCGGATTTGGTACATGTTATCCGACCAAGGCTGAGATCATGTTTAATGGTCTTTGTTCCATTTAATGATGCCTGTTATTTATTTGTGCTACATCAAACCTCATGGATGTCCTTGTTTCAACTTTCAAATGAGAACTTGGCTAACTGGCATGTTTAATTTGTCTTCCATGTGAATGGTGGATGCCTTTTGCTTCTTTTGTTTGTGAATGGATAAATGGCCTTTGGACCCCATGTCAAGAAGCCACAAGTCCTCAAAAATAGCAGCAATTGTTTATGAAGGCCAGGGGTGACAATCAGGTCATGTTAAATATGTATGTATTTAACCTATGAATGTACACATGTTTAGGGATGTCAATTTTTACCGCCCCGCCGGGGCCCCGCCCCGTTCTGCCCCGTTAATAACAGATATGGGAACACTTATTATACCGTTGGGGCGGACATGGATACAAATTTTGTACCCGTCGAGGGTCACGGGGCGGGTAAGGGTTCAATATACATATCCTAGGGGCCCCGCCCCGCCCCGCATATAACTATATTTAATATATATATATATATATATATTAATAAGTTATTTTAGCGGCTCTTACAATCCTAATTTGGGATGTAAACTTGGTATTAAATTTGCTTTTGTTTTGGTTATGGTGGAAGTTGGAGCTTAGAACTTCTTGTGATTTGGTTGTATTAAATTTTTATTTTTGTTTATTATGTTCTTTGAATTATGTTATGTGCATGTTATTTTTTTTATTTTTGTTACATAATTTTATTTATGTTGTGTCATTCCTAGGCTTTGCACATTTAAATAGCAGGAGTTTAAGTTCCAAAAAGTGGGAGAAAAAAGTGGGGCGGGCACGGGGGCACAGTATTTCCTAACGGGGCGGGGTTGGATATGAAAATTCAACCCGTCGCGGGTCTCGGGGCGGGTATGGACTTGACAAAAATTAAAAGGGGCGGGGCGGGATTTAGGGAAACCCGCTCCAAACCCACCGCGTTGCCATCCCTACACATGTTATCATTAATTTCTCAAAATTTTGGTAAGATATACGACCTTCCTATCTTTTATTAGTTTACAAAATTCCTCTGTTGATAGGTAAATTCATGTCACATTGTATGTGTTAAACGGCTAGACTGTATTATTTTTCACAGAACATGAATATTATTACATGGGTTTATTGATGTTAAACAAGTTGATTATCAGAATGTTTACGTGGCATGTTGTTTCAACATGTTAATTTTGTTGTCCTATTTACACCCAGAATCTCTGTGCGAGATCAATTTCAAATTTAAACTCATGTACTTCCGTATTTGGTTCAAGTCATGACATGTCAAGAATTGTCACCCTATTGAAACCTTCAGTTCTAGCAGAAGCTGCAGAACCCATTGTGGTGTTCTAGTTGGCAGCGAGAATTTAAACTGCTTCAGTATGGTGGTAATTTAGATTTAGCAGCATGTTATGATTCTTACCATGAGGTCCACAATTGTGCTGTTTGTCCCTCGATCATGCGGTGTTGCAACTGCACTAATGCTGTGTTTGGATGCAATTCCGAAACACCACTTCCAATATGTCCATAGCATAAATGAATGAATAATGTTGTCACCAGAGTCAATGAATTGAAAAATTCATTAGACTAATTTGACTTTTTATATATCTCAAAATATCTGTTTTAATCTTGTAATTAAAACAAAAAGAGTTCATGAATGAATGAGAGGGACCATTCTTCTGTTCACATCGTGCATGTAGACAAAACGAACACTTACCGTATAAGTGCCTATTTTGAAAACTTGAGCATCTCCCTTGCATGGACCACTTCACTTGGTTTATATCAATTAAGAGAGAGTGAAAAAAAGTCCATGATCTGATTTCAAAAAATCCATCATCTTAGTAACATATAAAATTATAAAAATACCCTTCTTGATTAAAAAAAGAAAATAAATATTTTCAGGTTTGCTTTACTTGGATGATAGATTATTTATGAAATAATACTAAAATCTATTATCTATCTTGTCACAGCCTTTTTTTTTTTTGTTTTTCTTGGCGTCTATTTTTATGGTGAGTGTTTTTTAAGTTGTATGCGAGTATTATTCAGTAGCCTTGACATGTATTTTCACGGTCAGTGTATATTTTAAGCTGTATACGAGTATCACTCAGTGGTCTTGGCGTCTATTTGCACGGTAAGTGTACATTTTAAGTTGTACACGAGTGTTATTTAGTGACTTTGACATCTATTTTCACTGTAAGTGTGCTAGCGTTTGAGTGAAAAAAAAAAAAAAAAAACAAAACAAAATAAAACAACGAAAATAGTAATATTCTTTTTGTCTCAAAAAAAAAAAAAAAAAAAATCTTTTTTGAAAATGTGAAACATGACATCTAATTTAAGGGGAAAGTAGTAATAAAATAAGTTTCGAGCTCAGTACTTTAATCCAATGGTCATAAAAACATTATTAGAGTTTCTTTCTTTAAAACAGTACCACGTGGCAAAAAAAAATGAAAAAACAAAACCACTGATTGATTGAGACAGCCAAACAACCCACGCCTGAGTGATTACCGCGTCAGCTGAGACAAACGACCACGAACGGTACGGTCAAATATTTTATAATTATACGAAGCCTTCTGAAATACAATACAAAACCGAGATTGCACCCACAGTTCTCGAATCGGTCGCAAGCATCAACCGCCCACTGGGACTTCACTCTTTCTTTTTCACCACACATACACACCTGTTATATATATACATAATTACATATATAATTATATATGTATATTGTGTAAGTGTAAGAACGATCGGATATAAAAAGGGTGATCTTGCAGGAGGCTCACGTTATCATCGTTTTAGAATTACAAAACCCTAGTTACGCAATGTCTACTCCCTCTGTCTTCGCCAACGTCGTTCAAGCACCTGAAGATTCCATCTTAGGGGTACTCTCTCACTCTCTCTCAACATCAACATCTGCATCTATATCTATATTTGTATCTTAATTAAATTTGTAGCGAAATACTTGTATTTGCGTATCTGATCTTACTAATCTGTGTTGTAGCGGTTGACTTTTGTTTTTTTTTTTTTTTCATGTGATTACAACGAATCCGATGTCAATTTTAAATTTCAGACTTGGCTCTAATTTATGATGTATTTTATTTGTTCGTCAAATCAGATTGAGAGAGAGAGATATTGTGTATACTGAAAACAGATAAAGCCTTTGGATTTATTGAAAATTGCAAACAATGCTATAAATGTAATTCACAATCAAACATTAATCATTCACTTGAACAATTTTTCGTCAATTTTTATACCAACTTATTTCTCTCTCAGAACACGAGTTGGACTGGTTTTTATTTAGAATCATGTGTGCTTCTAACAAATCAAATGTATAAATCAACCAAAAAAAGTGTTCACTTCAAAAAAAATTACTGGTTTTTATGATCCTTATAGCTATCCACATCTAAAAAATGTGTCTTGTCTTTTTCTGTATTGTCATACTTGATAACTTGATGAGCAGTACGTCTACCAAATATGAGAACATCAAATTGTTCAGCTGCGGATGTAACTTTATGCATGTTCTATACTTCCATTTTTCGTGCTTGGCATATGCTCTTTTCTCAAAATGTTATTTTTCTTCTCATCTTTCCACAAGACGTGGGCCAAAGGCCAGCATAATTCATTCCACTTCATAGGCTATTTGTGGCTCTTATTGGAACAGTTCGAGCACAAACAAAAACAAACAATATAAGCTTATTATGAGGGCATGCTTTTGCTCAGACTGAGCTAAGGCTTGGGAATATGCGTATATATGTCATTGAAAATATATGGATGCATTGTATTTGATTTTACTGCTTGAGTAAAACTAAAACCAAGTTGATTCCGTGTGTTAGTTATATTTGTATGGTGAAGTGAATCTCAGTGCTGCAATCTGTTCTGATTCTACTGTTATGTTCTATAAACAGGTCACTGTTGCTTATAACAAGGATTCAAGCCCAATTAAGCTGAATTTGGGCGTAGGTGCTTATCGAACTGAGGTGTGTTTGTTAGAATCAATTATCTCATTTTCATCCCAAAAATACACATACACGCTCACAAAACTGATTTAGCTACAATTATAAATTCAGATTCTTGTATATGTGTTTGTGTTCCGATGCAATAATTTACTGGTTTGACATATCCATGGTTTAACAGGAAGGAAAACCTCTTGTTCTAAATGTAGTGAGACGAGCAGAGCAAATGCTTGTAAATGATCAGTAAGTTCTTGAATTACTGTTGGGGCTACTTGTAACTTAAGGAATTGTGACTGTTGATCTCCTTGTTTTTGATTCAGGTCCCGTGTCAAAGAGTATCTTCCAATTATTGGACTAGCAGATTTTAATAAATTGAGTGCTAAGCTCATATTTGGTGCGGACAGGTAAAAAGGTCATGCATTTTATTAGCTTTATTTGCAGTTGCAGATAGCGGCTTGAAAAATTGGGCATGGATTGACCAATAGCACGTAAATTTATTGATTAGTGTCTTATGTTATAGGATTAGACAATCAAATGGTTCTCTTGCACTTCCTCATATATTACTTTCAAGAGCTACAATATCATAATTTCGAATTCAATCAAATGAAATGAGCATGGTGCAAGTTTTGATGGCAAAGACAAATTCCATCCCTCATAAATTATAAAATTTATTCTAATAAATAACATGATTCATGCTACAAATCTAGACTGGAGTAGCAGCTAGTGCTTGACTCAGGGATGTGGCAGATGCCAATTACTCTTGAGCAGTAACAGTTTGACGTTTACTCAAATTTTGTTTGTTTACAGTATGTCATTCCCCCTCCTCTTATTTGAGTGAAAAGAGGAAATAATTTTTCTATAAGGCCTACTAATTGTTTGATTGTTTTTTATGTTATGCAATGTTAACACCTTATTCTATTTTTTTTTTTTTTTTGGTGATTTTGTAGATAGAAGATTTTTTGGTTCTTAAAGTGTCTTCACAATCTATACAAGAAAAGATTTTTATTTGTAAAAGTTAAATATGTTATGTTATAATGCAATATTTTTGTTTGTTTTCATTACAGTCCTGCCATTCAAGAGAACAGAGTGACTACAGTCCAGTGCTTGTCTGGTACTGGCTCACTTAGGGTTGGGGCTGAGTTTCTGGCAAGACATTATCATGAAGTAAAATAGCTCATTGTTTTTACGTTATTCCATTTGATAAGTAATTAACTAATAAAGCTTTCATAGGACCCACCCCCCACCCCCCCCCCCCCCCCCCCCCCCCCCCGGGGTCCTCCTGCCTCCCAACAAAAAAAAAGAGGAACTTATTCATCTGCCTTGTTTGGCAGAAAGCTATATACATTCCGCAGCCAACATGGGGAAACCATCCAAAAGTTTTCAGTATAGCAGGGTTGTCAGTGAAGAGTTATCGCTACTATGACCCAACAACGCGTGGACTGGACTTCCAAGGTTTGAGACCACTGATTTTCTATGAACAAGCTAGAACAGTTTTACAATCAAAGTGTTCTTTTTTTTTTTTAGTTTGCGTAATTTCACATACCAGTGATATGTTCCTGTGTTATGGAAAGATCAAATCATACAATTTGACAGTTTGAAGTACCAGAGTGGTTATTAGTTGCTCTTTAATTTCTCAAATATTGTCATCCACAAGGCCCTTCCAGAATGCCTACTTTATTTTGATTTTTCAGTATGCTATCTAATTGTCGATTCAGCTTCCCTGAATTTATTCCATTTTTTTTTTTTTTTTTTTTTTTTTTGTGGTGATAAATTTGCATGAAGATAAAATTCTTGGTGATAATGATATGTGCAAACAGGCTTGTTGGAGGATCTTGGTTCTGCCCCATCAGGAGCAATTGTGCTTCTTCATGCATGTGCTCATAACCCGACAGGGGTTGATCCAACCCTTGAGCAGTGGGATCAGATCAGGCAGTTAATGAGATCAAAAGGGTTGTTACCTTTCTTTGATAGTGCTTATCAGGTAATAGCAGATAAATTGGAGCCCCTAGCTGTTTAGGTGTATTGTATATAATATACTTCCAATTGTATTATTCTAGGGTTTTGCTAGTGGTAGCCTCGATGCAGATGCACAGCCCATTCGCATGTTTGTTGCAGATGGTGGTGAATGCCTTGCAGCTCAGAGTTATGCAAAAAACATGGGCCTCTATGGCGAACGTGTTGGTGCCTTCAGCATTGTGAGTCTCCTATCACTTATTGAAGCAGCAGCTTTCCTGTGTTAAGATTAAACTTTTAACCATTCATTAGTAGACAATCTGCATTTGATCGAAACCTGGTTGATAACAATGATGTATAAAAGTAAGAAATGTCCTCCAAAGTTTACTAACAGTGTCACTCACCAGGTTTCTAACAGTGACTGACCTTTTTGTCAGGTCAGCTGCCTTGAAATGAGATTAAAATGACAATTTGGTTCTCATACAGATATATATATATATATATTCATATCAAGGCAGAATTACCAATAAAGTCAATTAACTGGCTCTCTTCCTTACAGAGAGAAATTTTTTGATACCACAGCCTCAAGGTAGGTCAGTGATACCTTGTAGACCAGGAAGAGGCGGTTAATGTTATCAGGAAAAAATTTTACTTGCATTTTCCATTTTTGTTATCAGGAAAATTTGTTAATATGTTAGCAACTAGCATTTTCCATTAATCTATTGAAAGCCGAAAAAAGGGTCCATCTAATATGCCCTGTGAATACAAATTCTGATGGGAGTTCCGTTTTTTACAGGTCTGCAAAGCAGCAGATGTGGCAAGTAGGGTTGAGAGCCAACTGAAACTGGTGATCAGGCCTATGTATTCTAATCCGCCTATTCATGGTGCATCTATTGTGGCAACCATTCTCAAGGACAGGTGCAAGTTTGAAGTTTCATTTAAATATTTTAGGAACAACATTCTGCAGCATGACAAAGCCAAATTGTTCGGGTCAATTCCTTCCCTTAGAACCATGCTTGAGTTTCCTGCCTCGTACGGCTCAGAAGTCAATTCTTTTAGTGTCCCATTTTAATCTACAATATCGAACTGAATGAGATTTCTCTTAGATCTATCCGTTTTGGGTTAACCAGAAGAGGTTAATTACACGAGTTTCAGACAATTTTGATTAATCAGTTTTACCAGAAGAGGTTAATTACATGAGTTTCAAACTTAATTTTGATTAATAATCAGTTTTAGTTATGTTTCACAATATAGACCTTTAAATGTAATATGTTTAATAGAAGAAAAGTGGAACAAGAATATCTTTTAGTTAAATATTATTAAAAAAAAAAAATAGCACCACAGTACAATGATTTATTGGATCTCCTTGTTCGGTCTAGAAAAAATCTTGTATTTGATGGGACAATATCAATCAATTGTACCACTGGGCCCTTTGCCTGGGTGGTATGACCTTCACCTCCCATTAGGGAGGTCAAGGGTTCAAGCTCAAGTGAGGCAAAATGGGTGTGTGCAATCAGTCATGGATTCAGACTTTTGAAATTCTGCTCCTAAGCTTGAGTGCCTATTGCCTGCAGGGATATGTATAATGAATGGACAGTAGAGCTGAAAGCAATGGCTGATCGCATTATCAACATGCGCCAGCAACTATTTGACGCTTTAAAAGCCAAAGGCAAGCCAATTTGGATCCTTTTCTTTGTTCTGTTTTCCATTTTATTTCGTTTTGGTGTTTCAATTGGCGTTAAAGAGAAGTTGCTGGACTAGAGTGTCACTGGCCTCTATTCAGTGTATATATACGTTCTTTGGTGCTCTGACTGCTAATTACACATTGGAGAATGGTTTGCCCTTGCTGTAACTTTTAACAGAATTTTAAGGGCCATTATCGCGGTCATGTTTTCCATTAAAAATGATAATGAAATTTTGTAATGGGGATGACTGGCACAACCTTTCCCCCGTCCATTTCACGTCGTTTTGCGTTTTTGTTAACTCTCAAGTTTGGTTTGAGTTTGACTTGTCTGTCTGAAATTACTTTATATTTCTATCTGCCAGGCACACCAGGCGACTGGAGTCACATTATCAAGCAAATCGGAATGTTTACATTCACGGGGTTGAACACTAATCAAGTTGCTTTCATGACTAAAGAGTATCACATTTACATGACATCTGATGGGTAAATAGATTTCTTCCCAGATATTATATCCTAAAGAAGATAGTTTTCTCAATTAAATAAATGGGTGGTTCCTCCCTTCTTAGCTCTGTTTGTTGCTGGGAAATTGATTCACAGCTGAAAATCTGCTATAAGAGGTTTATGTGCACAAGTATCTCATCAGCATTCAGTATTATTCAATTACACATCATTTTATTGAAAATTTCTTGTTAACAAGAACGATATTGTATATCACATATTTATTAAACATGAGAAAATTTATTATTTACAGCAGTAATTGTTTGTTTCCATTGGCCCAGCAACATATATGTTGCTTATTTCTATTTCTAATCAACTCTGTTACTGCTGCCTCACCAAAGTCATCTAAGAAGTCCCTCATGCTATCGTTTGAAATAATGGTAGTATGATGTCAAAGTAGAAGTCAAAAGGCTACTGTCCAGTGTGTTATTATATATAAACGTCAAGAAATTTATTGTCAATGCATTACACATTCTATGATCAACAATTTGTGAATTGTGTACCGTCTTTCCCATATTAAATTCAGCTCCTTCAATTTCCACTATGCCAATCTATGTCTGTAGTTCCAAGTTTGAGCATTCCATATATTCCCAGTAGATTTTAATGATACCTCTGGTTAAAACTTAAGTACCTTTATTCAAATTCTTTTTGTGCAGGAGGATTAGCATGGCAGGTCTTAGTTCTCGTACAATCCCTCATCTTGCAGATGCTATACATGCTGCTACCAGTGTTGCGTAGATCAGTACTACTCCACATGAAAGTTATGTACTGAAGCTTTTTGATTTTGATTTTTCATATTGCATGATACTTCGTATGAAAAATCGACTGAAGTTTGTTACTTGGATCAAGACAACTGCCTTGATATTTTGAATACAGATGTTTTTTAGGTTCTCACCAATCAAGTCAATATGTCGTTGAAATAAATGCAGTAGCACTTTCATGCAAGAGAAATGCACTTTCTTCTGTTGGTGCAATGGTTTTGAATATACTTGATTTCGTTGCTCAATTTTGCTTGATTTACTAGGACACCTCAAATACAATAAGTTAAAAATCAGCAAAGCTAGAAAGGACATCTCAGATGTATATAATTAGTATTTAATTACTCATACTGTCCTACAAAGAATAGGAAAGAACAGTCAATGGACTCTAACCCAAAGACACCTTAATGTGTCTGAATATTTACATTCAATAGGTAAAGCTCCCTAAAACTTGTCTTTTTTTTCTTGGTTATCCGAGTCCCATTCACCTTCTCTTTCCCTTTCTTCCCATTTATCATTTCTCTTTCCACTTCTACTGTTAGCACTATTATTGGCAAGCATTTGGACTCTTAAATCACACCCAAGAAGTGTATGAGAATTTTCTGCTGGTCTCTTTGGCAGGTTTGCTAATGGTCTTCTCATTCTCATCGTTAGATAAAATGTCTAAGTTGCTTTCTGAATTATTCTTTTCCATCTCTGCCTCCCCTTGGTCCAACTGCCAACCCATGAAATCCGATAGTGTCATTGTCTCTGCAGTAAAAGAACCCCTTGGTGTTGTTACTGGGGAGGAATTTGTTGAGGGCTTCCTCTTGCTTACTATCAGTGATGGATCTTGAGCAACAGAGTCCGCGTAAAGGACATCCTCAATGCGAGACATCACTGTGTTGGCTAAGCTTTCTAGTACCCTTGAATAGCTCTCTAAAACAGAGTGTCCCACATCCTGTACAATTAAGAAGGAAAGAAAAAGAAGTTAACATATGTGTATATAATGATTGATTTAAAAGAACAGCTGTTGGAAGTGTTAATTTATTCTTACCCTGTTATATTGGATCTTACTTATGTCTAGAGCAGATTGAGGAAGTCCAGGGTACCGATGTTTGAGTAGGAGTAAGATGGTTTCTGCTCTCTCTTCAAAGAGCTCTCTCTTCTCCATACTCACAGCTGAACCCCAAGAAGACTTTCCATCCTTTTGGTTCATCTTCCTTCTCCAAATCACTATAGAAGCCTCAATTCTGTTCTTAAGGTCAAGAATTTTGTGATCAGTTGACAAGTCCATGCTTGCAAGGAATTGACCAGGTTCAAAGAATTCATCTGTAATGCTCTTATAGATTATATCACCGAGGCTCGCTCTCCCATTCTACCACCAAAAGTAGAAAATGCAGAAAATCAGCCCAAGTTTAGAACTAAGCTTTCTGATAAATAGTCACTCTGAGCAATTTTTTTCTATTACCTTGGGGAGTGATTCAATGTAGTTTTCAGGGATCTCCATTTCTGATAGTGTTTCAGCATTTATGGCCATGGAGGCTTTAAGTACTTGGTTCACAGATTCCTTCTGAAATTGCAACCATTTTCGCGACATTTCTGGTAGCCCATTGGATGGAACCTTCACAGTAGGAAGCCACCATTTCTCGTCTCTCTGGACACCTTTCTCAGACTCATCAGCATCGTTCGACACATACCAGAACTCGTTTTGGTTTTTGAAGTTATCTAGGCAGTCCTAATTCATGATCTTCCCATGAGAATCACAGATAATATACCATAAAGAACAGTGATACTCTGTGATAAGAAAATAAGTAAATAAAGGTAGGCAATTTGCTGGTTCTTACAAGAAGCATTGCGTCGAGCTTGCGCAAAGCTGGTATGTTCATTAGCAAATCTCTTCTTTGTTGTGTCACCATTATCTACAAAACCAGGAAATACCATTAAGCTCTCTTGTATAGCAGAATGACAGTCAAATGTGAAGGTGCAACAATGTTTATTAGATTCGAGTTTTAGAATACAAAACAACACACACACAGACACAGTATGACAGAGTATTCACCTCCATATTTGTTCCATCCTTGGATTTTTGTTGAGAAGGGACGAATTCAACAATATTATCTGTTACAGATAAAAGCCAATCGATTTCTTTTCTCCACCTCGCTTTCCTATCTGCAGCCATGGGCTCTAGCTTCCGTTGTTCTCCAAAAACAGAAGCTGCATTACAGTAGAAGATGAAGAGAAAATTAGCATTTATGTTTCCAGAAACGATAAATTTGTATTCTAAACTTTAAAAGAAAATGAAAATATCCCAGATTGATGAATTTATAATAATGTATTAATCTTTCTCATTCTTCATCAAACTTACCAGCAAGATTTGTAATGGCATTTGACAAAGCCAAAGCAGATGCAACGCCCTTCCCGCCACCAGACATATCTTCTCCCAGAAGTAACTTAGCAAACCTCTCCTTCATCAACTCCATATCTGAGCCAAACAACAAAAGTGAAATTTTAAGCCACAATCATACAATTGATTAACATGTTGAGACATCCCAATACTGGTCAAAACATTATCTTCCCATTTCTTTCCTGTTTTTCAGGTAAGTCCATTTCTTGTTACTATAGATTGGCTAAACAATAGAACATTTTTACACATTGCACCAAATGTAGATCAATTTACTCACCAAAAAAGCCAAAATATATGTGTGTGTGTGTGTGTGTGTGTGTGTGTGTGTGTAACCAAAACAATGCATATGGCATGATATATGTACCTGAAGGCTGCTTGTTGCCTTGGGGACTTCCTGTGCTGCCTCCATCCTTGCTCAAGCGTGAAATTGGACCGTTATCATTGGATCGGTTAAATACGGATCCTATTTTCTGGACTGGTGCGTTATTTGCACCATGACTTCTAAACTGTATATTATCATACTCCGCGACTTCGTTTGAACCCTCAAGGATCAAACTATGAGCCTGTCGTCCTGGAATCTCTACCATCCTCTTTACGAAATAGAACAAAGAACCAACATGCCAATAATGAAATGCATGTACAGAGAAAATCAAACAAACTGTATTGTATGTATATGATGTTGTAAAAGAGAAATGAAGGAAAATAAAGAAAAACCCTCTTCTACAATGAGTACCTAGGGTTGGAATGGAAAAGGGTTTTCTGGATTTTCCAGAGTGTAGAGAGAGGTTGGTAGTATGAGTAGTTTTTGTAGTTTACTTTTTTTGAGCAATGGAACGTGGGGTGCATGTTTAATTAAGAAATTTAGGAAAAAGGAGAGGTTGGTATTAGAGAACAATAATTAGGCTTCTTTGAGGAATGAATGGTTGGATTTGTAAATGCCAGGCAAAAAGTCCGGGAAAGATATATAAGAAGACTCTCTCTCTATAACTGTTTGTTTTTTTTTTTTTTGGATAAATGGAGAAGTGAAGAATTTCATATAAATAAGAAACTTTGATTAGGAGGGTAAGACGTGTCAAAATACTGAATATTATAGAATTTCAAAATAAATGAGAAACTTTGATTGGAAAAAGTATAACGTGTTAAAATACTGAATATCTGAAAAAATTTCGATCATAGATTCATAATATGTATCGAATTAGAAATACATTATTGTGAGCTTTAAAACAAAGTCAACAATGTTTTTGAGTTGAAAATAAAGGGATTGCACATGGCTTCTCATTCGGTTCTTTGACTTTCTATATGAAGGAACAAAGGAGTACCCATATGAAGAAGCATAATCAATCAATAAATGTCACTGTTCAATATAGAAGACAATGTCACTGTTCAAAACGCAAGAAAGAAAACATAGCTTGATTCTGAGTGTTTGGAGTACAACTACAAATAAATGACCATCTCTCATCATTTTGTTACCATTCATACCTTGCACACAGAAAAGGAAAACTCTAGAACTCATTCCATGAAAGAATGTGACCTCTACAACACACTGCAAACTTCAAGAATGAAAGAAACAATACAAACCAGTGAGTATATATAAAGTATAAACATATATACTTTATTATGACATAAGTACAGCAGTAGGCATGCATGAGCCACAAGAACCCTTTACCTGCAGGCTGCTAACCCTTCACCAAACAGGACTAAAGGACTTGATGCAGCAGATGCGTTGACTGCTTATTTATGTTCCCTTTCCGGTGTACCGCGTTTCTCGACATTCAGTACTTCTGTTGTAGATGCATATTGAGTTCATGAATTAAGTTTTAAAAGGTTTAAATTTTGCAATCACATAGAAAATATTGTTAGAGATGTAATTGCTCAATTTTTACAACTCACACTGTAAAGCCTATTATTGATAGTGAAAGGAATCTATATTGTTCCTTAACCTCAAACCTCAAAAGGGTGAGTTAAGCATGTTCCTGACATCCAAAGATTGACCTCATTATTGGGATTCTGTTGTTTATTTTATGGTTGATGATGTCAATGTGTGCCTATATAATTCATTTTACACACCTCTAATTCATTGATGATGCCAATGAATGCTATAATACATAAGTTGAACAAATGCATGAGGAAGGGCCAAAAAAAATAAATAAATAAAAGGAAAGGAAAATGATATGTAAACCGAAATGGGTCCCTTGTTAAACTATCTGGTTGCAAAACTTTCGGTTTAAATAATAGGTTTGAGGCTTTGGTAGTATGGCAGGGTCCAAAATAAAAACATATCTATTCGGAAAAATAACCCCTCCCAATAAACAAAGTGGCAAAATCTCCTGTTCATTATCAGGAAATTGAATTGTCCTCTGGGGACAAATTTTGGAATGTTAGTGAAAGTACACAAGGATGAAAGCAACCCAAGGAGGGAGAGTGGTGAAGCATCCTGAGAAAGTTCCCATTGAAGGTAAAAAATAATAAATAACAGGTAGGAGGTAAAAAAAAAAAAAAATGCTGCTAAATTTCTTCCAATTTTACTGCGGTTTCAAATATAAATGTTTCCATTCCACATGCTGAATTTGGCATTGAAAGTGACGGGGGCGTGCAAATTGAAGGAACATTAAAACAGGCCATAAATAGTTGGCCTAACTAATTAATTAATGAGTTGGAGTTGTGACACTGATGACTTGATGAGTATTACTACAACTCAAAATTAATGTAAACACAGGCTACATCCATTGTCCAATTTCCTGCATAACCTTTTCCTTAATAAAATATAAGATTATTGTCATTTTTATTTATAATTAATAAATTACTACCATTTTTTCATTGTCAGTTTCACCTGCCATTGAAGCTAGTCTGCCAATAGAAAATTAATGCTTACCTAACATATCTGGTGAAAAATATAAAAAATTCAAAACTTATGGACTGAAAGTTTGAAAATGGAAAATTAAACAATTTTATTACAACCCTGAATACTCTGCCTCTCCAATAATATCTTAAGCAGTAGATGCAAACACCAAAAATTGAAACAGGAGATGTACACACTTAATACAGTACCATTAATTCAATTTACCAACCAAAAACATTGAATGCAAAAGAAGAAAATATATCTATATCTATATATATGTGTGTGTGTGTGTGTGTGTGTGTGTGTGTGTTAATGCACACATGTGAAGGCAAACATCAGGCACCTCCTAGTAAGAAATACTGCCTTTTCATGGTACTTAATTTGGAGGTCCCAGAGCTAGTGAGCTACAGCTATGGAATTAGAGCAAGCATATCCAGCATTTAATTGCAGTAGACGAGATTTAAGGGCCACAACTCCTTAACATTCCAAAAGCCCCATAAGATAGATCTCCTACAGTAGCACAGTCAATGGAGTAGGGCACATGATCTGAAAAACTTCTTCTGAATCTTTCAGGTTAGATTTTCTCCCCCATCATCCAACATATTGTTATAAAACTATGGTTGGTACTTGCGACTTGGTACTAAAAAAGATGATCGTGTGACATACCAAAAGATTCTTATTAAATCGTACCGAATCCTCTTCAGTGGAACAACATGATCGCTTCTGTCCAGTTCGAAATGTATCTTACAATATGTAAGAAGTAATTTTCTACCCATTAAAAGTTAACGTGGTTCATCCACTGCATTTTGTTGACAATGTTAATAAGTATTCATTTACCTTTAAAAAAAAATAATAATAAATAAATAAATAATGTTAATGGGTGTTGAACATTAATGGCTGTCTCACTTTTATGTCAATTTATTTACAGAACCCACAAACAAAAATTGCAGAAATAGTACCACAAGAAGGCTGGGAGTTCACAAGTTTTGAAAATATTTAATTGTTGGTTTAGTTCGGAAAATTAGGATTGCACTAGGTCAAAAGTGTACAGGAAAGGATGGAGACTAAACCCCACATGAATTGTTAAGTCCGTGATTATTAATTTAGTGGATAAAAATCTTGATTTTCAAATGTGAGTATTTCTTCTAGTCAAATGGATTGTATAATATTTAATTTAACCATGTTCATAATAAGATACCCTAAAAAAAATGTGGAGTCGGGTAGCCAAGCTTGACATAATTGACAATTAAAATTTCAGAATTTTAATTTCAAGCGTGAGTTGTACTCCTAGTAAAGTAGAAATTTCAAAGGATGACTCGTTACATGCACTATTTATGTTAATAGCCAAAAGTTCAAAAAAAAAAAAAAAAAAAAAAACCCATTGGTGAGGATTAAATTACACACTTATGATAGGCACCAAAAAGAGAATCAAAGCAGGGTGTTGTGTTAGTCTTACAAACGAGCGTCCTGTGACTGCATTTAAACATTTCATTAGGTAGCTTTGGAGCATACACCAATATAACCCATAAATACTGAATTACTGAAAATATATATATATATACACACACATTTAATTTAGGTAGCTTGGGAGCCTACACCCTTTATTTATGAACTATTTAATTATCTAACGCACTTCATTCTTCTTATTTACAGAAATTTGAGATCTAAAAATCAAACAACTCTTAATGATTTATGCTAACGACATTATAATATCATTAATTTCTCTGAACCCTTTCTCACATAAAATTAGTATAATTTGTCGGACTATATAATAACTCGTACGTTAAAAAAATATTCACTATTGATAAGAAATATATTACATTGTCGGATATGTCTAATAATATTTTTTATTTTAATTTGAAATGGTTGGGACGAGTGGGTAAGTCACTTTGCCTTATAGTTCCACTTCTCTTGAGTTCAAATAATTACGAATATTAAAAAATATTTATATATATTTCTTATTTTAATAGGTGATTTGAAAGTTTGTCATATGTTTAGTTAGACCAATCCATTCAAAGGGCATGAAAAGGAAACTACATGTTATGGGGCTCATTTAAAACAGTGATTGCACTTTCATGAATTTGGTCCTAATAATAATAATAATAAATGGATGGGTAGTTCCAAACAGTCAAATAAACACATGTTTATGATTTATTATTTTTCTTCATTGATGGACATTTTCATGGTAGTTTCCTCATCATGTTTTTAAGTGGATTTAAAAAGATTGCAGCTCATACGCTTCAATAATTAATCTCATCATTAATCACACACCAACAGTGATCACTCAACCATTTCACTTTTTGTACCCATCACCCATCATAATCCATTGGATTATTATTAAATAAAGAGAAAAAAACGAACTCAAAACTCTGTTTCTGAAAATAGATATACAGATACAGAAGTGGGCAATCAAAAGTCAAATTTCTCTGCTATCTTCTTCTTCCGTGGATCTGACGTCTCTCTCCAACCTCACATGCAGGTCAGATTTCTTTGAATTCGGTTCTTGTTTGTTAATTACATTGAATTCGTTCTCTCATCTCATCTGGGTCTCTCTTTCTTGTTTCATTTGGATTTTGAGTAGAGGCTGAAGGAGAGAGAAATGGGCTTGTCAATGTTAAGAGATGCTGTTTGTTAATCCAGAAACTACCCAATAATTTAGGTAATCAAGCTTGTAACTTTCGTGGAAATATGATAATTTTGCTTTTTATTTGTGAATTATATACGTGTGTATGTATGCATTTGTTTTTTGTGGATTATGTTCAACTATACCTTTAATGTTTAGATCCATTCATCCGAATATTATCATAGCATCTCCTCTGAACATTTTAATTAGGGTTTTGAACATTACATTGTAATTTAGTGAGAATTTGGACTTCAGTGATACCCAATAGCTTTTTTGAAAGTGCCAAGGAGAGAGTGATGTTTTGATTTTTTTAACATTCACAATTTTTTGTTTCTTTTTTGGCGGCAACAGATTGTCTATTTTGCTTGTTCTTCCATTGACAAAGAGGTGAACTAGTTTGTACTGTTTATAGACGGTCCTTGAAATTTTTTATTCGAAAATAAATAATTATGTCAGTTGAATATGCAAATTTAATTAGATTGGTGGTGACTTTGTTTTCGCGAGCATTGCATCTGACTTTGTCAATGGCATTTTCTGTCATAGGAATATACCTCAAGACAATTTGAGATCAGTTATGTACAGATCGTTCATCACATGTGATGATCCGAAAGGTGTGGTTGAATGTAGTACAATCAGAAAATCCAAAAGTGGATCTCAGAAAATGGAGAGCACTGTTGTAAGTCGTAGATCGAGGAAGAACTCGAGTGCATCTTCAACATATAAGGAAGAAAGCCATATGGTATCTAAAGGTGTCACAAAAGAAATACAAAACCCATCTTCCTTCCAACTCATGGAAGTCTCTAAAGGAGCTCAGAATCTGAACCGGGTGATTGACTCATGGTCTGATGGGATGACCTTCGATGGGCATTCTGAAGATGTTGCAAAAGATTTGTTGAAAGGAGCTCTTGATCTGCAGGATTCTCTAGTCATGCTTAGCAAACTACAAGAAGCTTCGCATTATATGGCTCAATTGAAGAAAAAGCAGGAAAAATCCGGGAAAGGAAGAATTGGCGAGATGGGAAGTGAAAGAACGAATTACAATCAATTTGGAGATACAAAATGCCAGATGGGTTTTCAGATGCCAAAACTTTCTACTGATTCAAGGGACTGTTTTGAGGAGCTTAGGCAAGTGATCAAGGATGGCCTTGCTAGGCAAAATCTGTTGCCAAACAGTTGCACTGAAGAAGAGGCTTCTTTTAGTAGAAATACATCAGTCTCAGCTCGTGATACCCCATCCACCAGTTCAGGCCAATCCTCAACTGTTCACTCCCATGAATCTACCTCTTTTGATTGTCCCCTCCCATCAAAGACTCCGCAGAAGAAGCGAAATGGCCCAAATTTGATTGCCAAGCTTATGGGTCTGGAAGAAATCCCCTCCAAGCAATTGCAGTCCATTCCTCAAAAACAATCGGAGAGAAGACCTATTTTTGATTTGGATATGCCGAAGACTATGAATCCTCCGCTTGTTGTTCAGAAGGGGGATCCAGCACGGAGGTCACTGAAAGAAATACTTGAAACTGTGCAGTTTGAAGGACTTTTGAGGAGCAGTTCACTCAAAGAGTTTAAGCCTTCATCCCGTCATCCTAACAGTTTACCTTCCAAAAAGAGGTCTATCGATGATGCTCCACCCATTGTAATTATGAGACCTATGTGTTCATGTCTAGCAGCAGAAGAGCCCTGCAATCAAATGTATTTTCAGCAAGATGGAGCTCCGGACACTAAAGAGATGTTCAGAAAATTGATAATAAAAAAAGTTGTTCCAACTGAAACCACTGACTGCAGGAAACGAGTTTTGAAATCCCATGGGAAATGCAAAAACCTGGAAGCAGAAGAAACACCAATTGAAAGGCTTAGCCAGGATGAAGAAGTTAAAGACTGTAAAGAGGTACTTGCAAAACCAGAAGAAAAAGAAGTCAAGGCCAAGGAAAAGTTATCTTCTAACAAGTTGAAAGCTTATGTTCCTGTAAATCACAAAGCACATAAAGAGTCAATTGATAAACAAGTCAACAAGATTCAGAAGGTGACACACACTAGAAGGAAACCAGTAGAAGTGGAGAATTTGAAATCAAAAGGTGTTTCTAGATCTCATGATCATGCCAAGATGGGCTCCAGAAAACTACAAAATCCTGAAAAAGGATCGAACATCCCAAAGAATCGGATTGCCCAGAAAAAAGGTACTGCACCAAACCTCGATTCAAAACACACATTGCCGACCATATCTCATAGATCAATTGATTGGAAGAAGAATCCCAGGAATATGAAGCCTGTCAGGGAGCCCATATCAACTAATTTTGCTGTGAGTATTTTCTTTTAATTTACCTTTGATACTCTTAATCAACTGAATTTTGGAACTTTTTTCATTTGGTTGTGAAAATTTATACAAATTATGTCATGACCAGGCTGAAACTATAGGATGCTGGGACGATACCAAAGGAATCAATAGCATGCCTGAAGATGAGTCTGATCTGATAAGAACTGACACTGTACCTGCAGAAGGGATGGATGCCTCTGTAATTCAGGTTAAAGGTAGTGCACATTATTAGATACTAATACTTCTGTGATGACCTAAAATTGACCATCAATTATAGAACTTGTAAGTGATTAAAGTGGATCCCATCATTGGTTAGCAATAAGAATAAAATTGTCCCCCATTTACCATCACTTATACCACTATGCTACAATGGCTTCAGTAGTGATTTAAGTGGATTTGAGATCCCATTTCTTAATGCACATTTGCATTTTGTAGAAGTTTGTATGGATACTTATTTTGGACCAAATTTTCTTGTTCCCTGGGGGACCATTGGGCAAGAAAACCATTTTCTAATTAGTTTATAATTTCAATATTGTTTAAGATACACTTGCAGAAAGTGATCCACCATAACTTACAATTGCTTTGATCCCCTTGGCACAGCCATAAATGAATATGATTTACTGATCTTTTCTGAAAGAGAATAATTCGTATGAATACATATATAAGTAGTGATGCATTCCCGTAACTGCCATTTTAGAAGTGGCTGTGTAGTGGTAATTTATATTTATAACTGAATTAAAAAAATTAAAGAGAGGTGGTATTTGACCTTGTATAGATATGTACTTTCATTGCAAAGGTGCTGAATGATAATGTCTCTTATATTGCAGATCATTGCAATAACAGCCAGCATGCTCTATGTGAGGTTAGACTGCAGACTATCCAACATGAAACTGGCACTGAATTTGCTGAAGAAGATCAATGCATTAACAGCCAGAATGCCTTATGTGTGGTTAGACTGCAGACTATCCAACATGAAAGCAGCATTGAATCTGCTGAAGAAGCAAATTATTGCATGAGTCACAATAGTACTGAGAAGAATAAATTCTTCAGAACTGAAACAGATCTTAGAGATTTGCTTTTGAGAAGTCCATTATTTCTTAGCCATGCTGAGGAGCTCTTCTGTATCAGTGCACATCAACCCATACAAACAGCAAGGGTAAACGACTTCAGAATAGCAGATCCCAAGATCTTATTGGACTGTGCTAATGAATTTATGGAACTTAAAAGCCTCCAATGTCCACAAACTGCGCATCCATTATTACAAATCCCCATGCAGAGCTCGAGAACTTGCATCTCCTTAGATCAATTGGTGGGGGAAGTTTGCGACGGAATTGAAAATCTGAGATGCTATCAGAAGCTAGCTGATGAGAACCTTCCTATAGATAGTATTTGTGCTGTAATGGACAGAGATCTAAGGTGCAAAGGAGCGGCTGGTGCATGGGATTGGGGTTGGAGGAACGGATTTACTGTGGATGAAGTTGAGCAAGTTATGGATGACATAGAGAAGTTCGTTTTAAGTCGCTTGATTGAGGAGTTGCTTACAGATGTTGTGCTTTAGTATCTCATACATGCTTGAATATGTGAATTCTAGAGCACAATATCTGCAGATAAAGATATCTAGAAAAGAGAACACTGGAAATGGTTGCTTGCCCACCACAAGGGTGGTTTTGTCACTTACGAGATCGTGTTGATTTAAGGTTTGGCTCGATCAGGGATTGGATCTTGGAGGTGAAGTTCTCACTGAAGGAAGCAACATGTTCATATCATTGTTGCCAAATGAAATATATGTAACTTTGATTTTGATTCCGTTTACTGGGTAGGACCTTATTGGTCTTTAGCAAACTGTTCGGACAAAAAAAAAACGAAGAAAGTATACTAGTGTAGTTAGTTACATTGTGAACTTCATGCACTGAAGTAAATTATTGACCAGGTACATTCCTGATTTTCGCAAACTTTTAACGTTTTGTCATATATGAATACATGTATTTTGATTTTTGTATGCTAAGCACTCTTTTTGGGTGATATTCTGTTGGCTGATCCTATTGTTGCACATAACCGCCTAGGCTATAACAAAGTTGCAGATAAGCCACGGTGTTAACAGTTGCTTAACTAAGGATTTTGACATTTGAAAAGGAAAAAAAAGTAAAAAGTGAAACAAGAATGACTTAAATGTGACCGTTGGATTTGGAACTCGTGATTCATTTGGGAGAGTGAACTCCTCTTAGGATAAATTTAAAAGATGAGAGGGGAAAGGGGTGGGCTTGCCCAGGTTTTCCTCGTCTTATTTGAGCCTAAGCACTTCTGTTGGGTTGTGATGTGTTTGGGTGCAGTATACCTCTCTTATTGAAGACAACTTGTCGAAGTAATCCCTATGTTAATCTGTTAATGTCTATCTGATCCTTGACATTGATATGCGTTGTTAATGCACCTTGCCCTTAATAATAATAATGTAGTTTTATCAAATTACTTCAAGATCATTTATTAACATAGATTCTCTTTTAATTTTTGAATGCTTTCTCGTAGCCTCAAAACTTGCTTGTGTTATGTTTGCATGGATTCTCTTTTAATTTTTATCTACATGTAGAAGCTTGATTTTAGGTTTTTTCAAGGATATAAGACACTAATGCAAAGTAGCCATGGATGATGGAGTTGATTTTTCCGTTCCCCTTCTATTTTTCCCATTATTTGGTTGCACTTCCTTAAATTTATTTATTTATTATCTTATTTGTTCCCTCTAATGCATTCTCTCTCCAGTCCCCCATCTCACAAATGGAGTAAATATACTTTGCTGCAGTAATATTTTGTTCTAACTTTTTGCATTTTTTGTTTTCACTTGCTATATTGCATTAGGCCCATTTATCTTTTATTTTGGTTGTTTGAAATGTCTCCCAGTTGTTTCGCATCCAGCAAGAAGATTATGGATTCACTTATTTTGCTTGGGCAAGCTTTTGGACCATTTATTTTTGTATTTTGTTAATGACATGGCATTATTTTAAAACAACGGTATTTGGGCTTATTTCTCCAATCACTTTGTGCCGATGAACAAATTTATATATGTATTATTATTCCAAAAAAATTTGGATTTATGGAGGTGAAATGTCAAAATTATGGAGTGAAATCTATTCTTTAAAAAAAAAAAAAAAAAAATAGATTTATGGAGGTTAAAGGCCTACTAAATCAGGGAATTTTACTGGACATTGTATTCTAATTCCCAACACCTTTAAAAATTTCTCAAAATATCTTTTGAAGTGGGTCTTCTTCCCCAACTCACATTTCTACCAAACCTTACTTTTATCAACCTTGAAATTATTAATGCTAATTAAAAACAAATTTCAATATTTTGAAAAAAATGACTTTGATTACATGATTTTGGCCTTGACCTCCATAACTCCATTTTTTTTTTTTTTTTGGAATAATCCCATTTTTATATCTCTTGAGATTTAGTGGAATATCAGCTTGAAAAATCAGTTTAAAATTATTTTCTATTAATTTTTTTTGGTTATGTCTTCATTTTATTGAACTTGTAATGTTTCCATGCTCGGTTCGGGCATACTTCTGTTTTTGGCAGGTTGAATACGGATCGCGAAGTCAAACCGATAAATATTTAAGCTATGGGTGGAAATGAATGGAAAATTTGCTCCAAACTTTTTTTGCCTTTTTTAATTTTAAAAGAAAAAAAGACATTATTCTTGAAACCTACATTTTTTAAACCATAATAAATTGAGGGAATTAAAAAAAGAAAAGAAAAAAGAGAGACCTTTCTTTGTGTTTTAAGTTTTAACCATTAAAGGACGTTATAACCACATTTGAAACGCAATCCCACCAATAAAGTCTGATAAAATTGGAAGCATCGATCAAATTCTTAATCATTCACTCTACAGGTATTGATAAATAATAAATTGGAAGGCATTATTCTGAACAAAGGTTTCATTTGAATAAATAGAAGATAAAAGAAAATAAATGATAATATTAGTTTCTTTTTAAAAATAAAATTAGTTGTGAGAATATAGCACTTATACTCTATATTAATGTTTTGATAAATTAAGAAAATAAAAGAAATGATATTCTAACTTTAAAATATATATATTATTGGTTAGTTGAAAACACTATCAATTTATTTTCAAAGAGCAGTTGAACACTTTGTTCATTATATATAAAGTAATAAAGCATAGATTTCAAAATAATAATAATAAAAAAAGAAGGGTAAATTCCTTTTTTTATTTTTATTTTTTATTTTTTGAAAAAGAATAAAGTCCGTTCTGAAGTCCATAGCTTGTCCCGTTTCAAGCTCGTAGCCCACCATCTCGAAACCCAAGTTCTAGGCCTTGAATAATTAAAATACGATTACGCCCCTCCCCGCCCGGTCTGTTGTGCATGTAAAAACCTACGACATATGACACCAGAAGGGCAAAAATCCTCTCCATGGCACCTCTCACTGGAGGCTGTTCATGGAGGATCCTACGGTTGTGATGAAGCCAACTCAGCCATACTTGTCTAGTCACTGCCTTGTCACTGTCCACTAAGCGCCACCTCGGCAACTGAAGTAAAAAAGTTACTTTGTCAAATTTTCTTTTACAATATACATATACAGTATACACAAGTGATATACAATATTATTTTATTTACTTATATGTGAGACCCAATTCACCTTTATTTTTTGTCAAAATCAAATTACTTTTAACTTATTCATCTTCTCCTACGCTATGCCATTTTTCCTCCTCTGGTTCTTGTTTAACTTATACATCTTTCCTTTCTTTTTCATTTTTCCTCCTCTGATTCTTGTTCTTTCTTCTCCTCTCCAAATTGGTATCGTCCCTTTTCGAAACCAAAAGTCTAAAATAATTTTTCCCCCACAATTCCTCTCTCTCTCTCTCTCTCTCTATATATATATATATAATGGAAATATGAAAATTCAATTGAGAATTGGGTAAAGAGGACTTTGGATGGTTGAATTGGGTATGGGCTGACTCCGATGAGATTGTTGGCAGATTCAATTTGAAAACCTCTAGTTGGATGGCATTAGAAAAAATGGTCCTTGAGCTATGCATTATTTGTGATGGATTGAAGACTTGGATAATAAATTTTGTTGCTTACTTTGACCGGGGAGTTCAGAAAAAACATAAAGGAAAAAAATTATAAAAGAACATAATAGCAAAGTTTCTCGTCATTGAGATCTATTTTGAAAAAAACTCCATACATTCCGGTGGTAAGCTAAATCTTTTATCATTCTAAGTGATAGATTGTGATTTAGAATTTTTTGTAATTTTATTCAAAGTCTTACAAGTTTTTGCACCTACACAAATGAACGTACATATTTTACGAACAACTGGCACAAATTAAATGTAACATGTTTCAAACCTAAATTATATGAAACATTTTAACCTAATTGTAACATGTATCATATACTATTTTGATGAGACTTGTATTACATAAGTAACATGAATTAAATGAAACGTCAAACAAAAATATTTCAGAATGACATAACAACATTAAAACATGTTAAGTTTAAGTTGTGATGTCATTCTAAAAACGTGTAATAGAATTTTAATAACTTTCTTACCCAATTATAATAGAATTGTAGTTTGATATGTAAATTTAGAATTTTAAATTACAATAAATAAGAATCACAAGTTTTTACAACATGTATCATGTATGAATTGAATATTGTATCAGAATATTTTCATAACACATATAAAAAATATACTTTACAAAGTATCGTCTTCCCTTCGGCTATTGATTAATAAAATTTGATTTTGAAAAAAAAAAAATTTATTTGCCAACAATGAAGTAAAATTGCAATGTTTAATCAAGATATGTATAGGTAAGTATTCATTATGTTTTATACATTAATTTATATAATAAGTGATACGTGTTACAACTAATTTGTGATGGTAGATATAATTTACATTTGAAACATGTTATCCTTAAGTTGTGTAATATGTTTTCACTTTTAACAATGGGACAATCTTTCACTCGTAAAAGAAAGTTGATGGATTTATTTTCTCTCATTCCTTTTTATATTATTGTTGTATTATTAAGTTCATAAATGATATAGGCTACAATTAAGTTGAGATGTATCATATAATTGATATTTGAAACATTGTACTTTAAAGTTGTGATGTCTTGAAGATATATTTATTTAATATTACGTTTGATTGGTGCTATGTATCTGATACAAGTCATATAAAAATAACAAGTGATACATGTTACAAGTAATTTGGGATGCCCGATATAATTTACGTTTGAAACATATTACGTTTGTGTTGTCATTCTAAAACAATGTTTGTTTGTTGTTACGTTTGATTGATTTTACATGTTACGCTGTGTCCTGTTAATAAATAATTCACCCAAAAAGAAAACTTGACGGTACAGAATTTGTAATACAAAAACCGTGATAACCCAAAATATTATTCACTAAGGGAAGAGATAGGAACGAATAATAAAACTACAATTCAAGTTCTTGATTCTAAATATAATCAAATACATTATATATTTCATTTGAAATAGGAAAAAACTCAAGGGAAATACCATTAGAAACTTGTACAAACATACAAAGTATTGACTTACAACACTGTAATCAATTAACTCCAATAAAATGACAACATTATATACAATACAAATTATATACTAATTATGTTTTTTTTCCCCAAAGAAAATAGGAAAAAAAAAAAAAAAAAACTCTGAAATTTCTTCCACACAAGTCATTTGGTTTGAAATTGATTGCAACAAATTATATCCGCTTGCCCATTTAAACAAATAATCAACATTAACACAGGGCGGCGGTCCTATTTACATTTGCAAAGTATATACATGCCCAAAATAACTATATATGTAAATATTATACAATATATATATATTTATTGTATAATATTATGCACTATGCAGACCCAAATACAGTTGAAAACCATATACAATCACCACCACCACCACCACCATCATCCTAAACATAACTTACATTTACAAAAGATATAAGTGCCCAAATAATATACGTATATATTATACACAATATATATATACACACACACACACACATATAACCCTAATTTGTGAGTATCAATGAATTTGTAAACAGTAAAATAGAAATTGAAAATCCATCCTAAACCAAATTGACTGGTCTCAAATTGATTGAGAACCAAATTGAAAACCCATGAAAACAATTGGTAAAACCCTATGTACACACACACACACAATATACATTTAAATCTTAAATTAAGATAGAGAAGAGACCTAAATGGTTTTCTTTACACCACTGATAAGGGCAGTACCATTGAAAGATCGGAGCTTGATATACGTGTATGGAAAAACATTAAGGCCTCGTTTGGATTGAGGGATTTGGAGGGTTTTGGAGAGAAAAGAAAGGGAAGGATAGGGATAGGTGTGTTTGGATGGAGGGTTTTGGAGAGAAAAGAAAGGATTGGGAAGGATTTGGAGGGATAGCCTATCCCTCCAAATCTCTCCTAAACAGTAAAACCAAATCCCTCCAAAATTGACAAGATTTGGAGGGATTTGGAGAGAAAGGGAGCTAATGACCTTTGGAGCCCATCCGGAAAAGTCGCCGGAAGTTGCAAAGATCATCGGAAAATTCGTCGAAAGTTGCAGAGACTGTCGGAAACTCGCCGGAAGTTGCAGAAATCGTCGGAAAAGTCGCCGGAAGTTGCAGAAATCGTCTGAAAATTCGCCGGAAGTTGCAGAGAACGCCGGAAAATTCGCTGGAAGTTGCAGAGATCGTCTGTTGCAGAGATCGTCTTTTGATTTTGGTAGATTTTGTAGATTTTGTAGTTGGCAGTTGGAGAGAGAGACAGCCGATATGGGTTTAGGTCCAGAGGCGGCGGTTCTGGAGCTGCCGAGCGCGTGCGCCGATGTCGACCTTGTTGGGACGGACCGGTTTCCGCTGGGCGGTGGAGAAGAAGCGGAGATCGGAGCGCTGAGATTGGAGGAAGGAGATCAACGATGGAGATTTGGGGATGGTGAAGATTGGGGGTTGGTGGTGGTGAAGAGAGGGTTGGAGTTGGAGGAGGGTGGTGTTGCGGAGGAGAAGACGAGATGCGAGTCGCCAGGGGAGCCTGGAAGAGGCCATCGGATTTTCTCGGGAATTTTCCGGGAAATGAGTGGGAAAGTCCGAGAATTTCTGTAAAGACGGCTGAATGGCACTCGAGAATTGTGTTCTAACCCTACCAAAAAGGGTAAAGGGTAAGATAGTAATTTTATTATTATCAATTCTTTTCTTTTCTCTCCTTTTTGTTATCCAAACAACAATATTATCAATTCTTTTCTTTTCTCTCCTATCTATCCAAACATGAATATAAACATTTCCTTCCCTTTCTTTTCTTTTCTTTTCTCTCATAATCCTTTCTTTTCTTTTCTCTCCAGTGTATCCAAACGAAGCCTAAAGATCTAACAAGAAAATAATACAATAAAAAAGCCTAAGAGATTATGCTCTACCAATAAACTAAAAACAAGCTACCAATTTAGTTCTGCAAGTAATAAAAATAAAAATAAACTAATCCAATCCAAACATATAACTTTGTCTCCTTGCTCTGCTTTTTTGTTCAATTTTGAAACTTCCATCTTCTAATTTGAATCTTAGAAAGAGAGAGTTAAATATATAGAATACTTTTGGAGGGAAATGAATTCAGACTTTTGGGGGGAAATTTCAATTTCAGCCAAAATTTTTGTATAAATTACATATACGTGTGCATGTATATACAGCTCAAGTAAATATTTTTTTTTACACAATCAGTCATATCAGCAATTTACCCCTCCATGGGCAACCTCCGGTGAGAGGTGCCTTGGAGAGGATTTTTCTCCCACTTCTGTGTTAATGTACTTTTTAAACTTTTTCTCTCTCTAACCCCGAGGTACTCTCTCCCTCTCTCTCTCTCTCGCTCTCCCCCAGCGGAACCAGTTTGAACGTGTAGATCTACTTTCTTTCACTCTGTTGTTTCTCTCCCCCATCGAACTAAGGTATGCTTTTCTTCACGATTTCTTTGCATGTTTTTAAAACTCCAACTTCTCGATTAATTTCCAACTCTCTCTGTTCTCCTCATTTTTAGATTTATTTTGTGCATGGGTTGAACAATCCAGTATTTTCTTCTTACAATTGAAAAGCCCAGGTTTCAATTCCTCCATAACATGCCTTTGAGATTTTTTACAATTGAAAAGCCCAGATTATTTTTTTTTTAATTTTATTTCTTGTTAGCAGAAAAATTCCTTGAGTTTATTTATTATTTTTTATAACGATTGAACCACCTATTATTTCTTCTCGGCAGAAAATTTTCTTTGATTTAATTTTTATATTTTGACCAGATCCAGTATTTCTTCTTACAATTGAAAAGCCCAGGTTTCAATTCCTTCATAGCATGCCTTCGAGATTTTTTACAATGGAAAAGCAGAAAAATTGCATGAGTTTATTTATTATTTTTTATAACAATTGAACAACCTATTATTTTTCCACGGTAGAAAATTTTCTTTGATCTATTTTTATATTTTGACCAGATCCAGTATTTCTTCTTACAATTGAAAAGACGGAGTCTTTTAGGTGGTTTACAGCTTCACACCACCGTATCTGGTGTAGATTTTGTAGACTGACCAACGGCGCTGCCGACACCTAATTAGGGTTTGGTTAAGTTTTTTGCCTTTTTTTTTTTTTTTTTTTGCCTCTGGCCCACTAATTTAAAAGTCCTGGGCCCACTAATTTAAAAGTCCTATATTTTTCCATAAATGTCCTTCAAATTTTAGTAATAAATATTCCGATCTTAGAGGATAATTTTGTAATTTTATACCCAGGATATACTTTATTTAGTCTTTTACAACTATTACAGTCTGTAAATGCTAGACTTTCAGTATTAATAAAAGTCCGTTTTTTTTTGTTAAGATCCATAATTTGCCCCGAATCTTCATGACTCATCACACTCTCTGGACTCGGTACTCACACAACTTTTTTTTTACCAACCCTTCCTCTCTTCCTTTACTCTCTCTCAACAGATCTCCTCCAAACCCCTTTTCGTCCCCTCCATCTTGTATTTTTAATTTACTTGGCTTTTTGTTTCAGTTCCACTGCAACTTCTTAATAACACTGGTTCATAGAGTTATGGAAGGCCTCCTGGCACTCTATTGGTCGAGAGAAATAAAGAGAATAATGCAATCTCTACCAAGGGGAAATCGAAAAAGGTTACCTCTAAACTCCTAGTTGTATTTTAGCTTTGTATTATTCACTCGTGTTGTGGTTTGATATTTCTCACACATTCTGTCTCTTTCATTTCAGAGTCCGCATAGATCTGGGTTCCCAAAAAAAATGGGTTATAAATTGGAGGAGCATCATCAGAACTCGCCGAACTTTTACCTAGGTTTTCATTCATGATCCAGGGGTGGGCGAGCCCACCAAAAAAAAATGGGTTAGAGATTGGAGCAGCGGAAGCCCAATATGGTTTGTTCCTTCTCCTTATAGATATATATATCTATATTACTACTACAATACAGACACAGCCACTAGAAAGAGCTTATAATAAGCGACGTTTCTTTAGGACACACAGAATTTAGGGCAAGAGTCTTTAGGGAAGTGAAAGAGTTACGCGCAATGAAATCGTTCATTCCTTGTCTTCCAAAACCAAAAGCACAGAAAGCATCTTGTATAATTAGATTTCTTCATTTGAAATTTTGTTTGATATAGTTTCAATTCTGTAGATCTGATTAGGACTCAATTGGTGACTATATTTGTAATTTGATTAAGATTTGAATTCTGTATCGTAATGTAGGATTTAAATGGTGTGTAAAATCTCCTGGCAAGGAATCTACTGGAAATTCTTTATATGGAAGAAAAGGTAATTTGTTGATGAATAAAGCAGTTGTTTGATATAGTTTCAATTCTGTTTGTAGATCTGATTAGGACTCATTGGTGACTATATTTGTAGTTTGATTAAGATTTGAATTCTGTATCCCAATGTGTAGGATTTAAATGTGTAGATCTGATTAGGACTCAATTGGTGACTATATTTGTAATTTGATTAAGATTTGAATTTTGTATCCTAATGTGTAGGATTTAAATGGTATGTAAAATCTGGCAAGGAGTCTACTGAAAATTATGTATTTGGAAGAAAAGGTAATTGCAGTATTTCATATTTTCATCTGTTTCAGAATATTAATTTTGAAGCTTTCCCTCGTTAGCAACCTAGTTAAAACATGTGTTTTATTCTGGGAAAATATGTACATATTACAAAACATTTGAATTTATTTCGTCTGATTTCAATAAATCTAACATTGGTAAATAATGATATGTTTTGCGGGCCAAGCTCACGTGGTTTCCACAGTTCCTTATGGGGCTCTCAAGTAGGTTCATTTATGAAAAAGGAGGTTAAATTATTTGTAGAAAATTATTGTCTGATTCTTTGGCTTGTAGTTTGTGTGTGAGAACAAGTCTGTTAGGACTTTTGATCATAGCTCATTTATTAATTTCGTGTAGCCAAGCCACAAAGTGGTGCCTAGTGGCCAACTTGCTAATTGATCCTCTAATTTCATCTCAAATCTTTTCAGCTTCGTGACTCGTGCCCTCCTGAGCAAGCGACCAGTCGTAGAATGTACGTCTTCTTCATCACTTGATACATCATAAACAACTTCTAGTTTCTTGAACTTGGTCTGATGTTGCATGTCAAATATCTGTAATGAGTAGCGTGTCTGGTAAATTATGCAATTTTTTCAAGTGTGTTTTGCAGGCCAAGGACATGGCATTTTTACTACTCTCAAGGTACCGACGAAAAATACTGAAGTAGTTCGTCATGGGGCTATTAATAAGTAAGTTCAGTTATATAGCCAGCTTTTTCGGATTCAGTTTGTACTAGAATAGTTGTTTGAATGTTGCAACCATTTCTCTTCAATTTATTCAATCTTCCCTTCTTGCTGTATGACTACAAATTACAAAATCGATTTTTTTGATGTTAATAGCTCGAAAATAATCCATGGATATTTCAAAGTATTTTTGCATTAGTCCCGAGAACCTTATCATCAGTACCAACTAGTGTAATCACTAAGTGATTAATCTACCATCACAATTACTGACTTAGCCTTTTCTAAAGTTGGGTTAAGGAATTAAATACTAAAGTAACACTCGGTTTGCATTTTATATGAATGATAGTGACTTATCAAAAAAAAATATGAATGATAGTGAATGATGGTTGAAATTATATCTGAACCTTTGAGGTTCTTTCAAAAGTTCAGTGTCATCATCATACTTGAAGGGTTGCATTAGATGATTTAAAATTCACCCTTCTATAATTAATTTTTTTTTAAAATTATTTTTTAAACTTTGAAATAAATGAATGGCTGACCTAATGGTTGTCTAGGCACTAGGTGGTCAGGCCAGATTGAATCATATCTTTATCTGAATTGGCAGTTTAATGGTAGGAAATTATAGATCCTCTATTGTAGCGGCTAGTTCATTTTATCCTTTTATGCAAAGAATGCTTATTGGACACTTACATAATTTAAGCTTATCAATACTAAGTATTAGGGTCCATATTGATTAATACTGGAATTGAAATGATTGATGATTCTCTCTTTTGGGAATTCATGATCTCGCCTTTCTTCCATTCTATCGTCTAAAGCTAAAGGTAAGGTGGGGATAATCGAACTCACTAATTATTCAATTTTGTAAGTGCTACAGAAATTGTATGATAATAAATAAATAAAAATTGTAATAAAGTGACCTATAGCGCACACCACTGTCATCCAGACTATTAACAATGGGTTTTCTTTGCACTGGGGTGAATCTAACTTGGGTATAAGCAGTAATTGTAGGAATATAGGTGTCTTTTCCTGACGTTAAGGTAAGTTGGGTAGAGTTGGGTGTGATTCTGATAAGTAGACATTCGGCTCCTCCTTTCTCTCATTCAATAGATTTCTTAGTAGCCCCGCATTTTTGCAAGAGATTACTAAAAGAGGTTCTTACCCCGGTATCGCGTGGGAGAGTGAAAACAGCTTCCTAAGGGAGTGAATTCGTATTTCTACCAATATTCATGATAAGACAATGGTGAAGGATATGCTGGTGTGATTGGAAAAATTTAACATGACCACTATTTCTCCCAGCAATGAAGGGATAGTCCAAGTGAGTTTCTTTTTTTGCCTCCCCTTATCAGGGAAATTTACTCTGTGGGTAAATTAAGAAATGCTGAAACCATCTTCCAAATAGTTGAACCCCCCTAAGTACAGGTTCCAGTTTTTCTGGTCGGTAAAATACTAGAATAGACTAGGGTTCTCTTACTAACATATTGACTTTGTTGGATACGCGATGATGACCTTGGGATACAAATAATAAATTAAAGTGCCACTAACTAGAATTAGTTACCTTAACCGTGTTTGCTGTAGCGCTCACATCATGTTGTCGGAATAGATCCTTTGGGAAAGGCCCTTTAGAAACCCATTGCTCGAAGGTTATTGAATCCAAAAGGATGAAATTGATTAATCAATTTCTTCAAATGCTGTAGTACTCTTCATTCCTACTGCCCTAAATCGTCCAAATAGAAATCTCAAAGTTGGTGACCCTTTATTAAGCACATCCTCGAGTTTCGCCAAGAGTGATCCCAAACCTCTGCCAGTCTATTACACCTTCGGATTGTATAAACATCAATCCAATCCTTCGTGCGGCAGAATACTGATTCCTTTTCATATAAACTTCGTAACGCTGTAAAGGACTTTACAACTGAGAATTAGTTTCCACTCTTTGCGCTCATCTATCTCGTAGTCGGAGGATGATAATGGAGGCAAATACTCTAAGTACTAAGAGGCATTGTATTTACAAACTGTTCAAAATCAGAGACTCAGCTGAGTTCTAGTTTGGTCAAGACATGGTTCAAGGTAGAACTGAAAGCAGTACAAAAGCTATAATCTGAAGCTCTTTCGGCATCCATGATAATTCGTTAAATAGATATATCTGATCAACCTGTCGTGAAAGGCTTACCCGGGAACTCACTTCCTCATTCCATGTCCCTAATAGCCTTTATTATTAATATATCTAAGAACTATAGGAAGGGGGTCCTCATATGGAAGTACGCATTTTCTTTATCTCGGTTCAGCTATCAGTTTTCCTGGTTTCTACTCTGTGTAAGGGGCTAATCTTCTCCAGTTAGGTTAGTTTCCTTTGAATATTTCTGTTCTTGTTGTATTGTGAGCATCTTGCTTTTTGGGAAAGGAGCAGTTTATACTTCAGTAGCTTCCATTTCACTGGCTCTAGTAATGATTCACTATAATGTAAACTGAAGATTAAAGCTTGACCACCCTTGATATGGGGATGACTTGTGGCTAAGGGTGAAAGGTCATGATTCAATTCAGGTCCACTTTTTTTTCTTTCTTTATCATTTTCGGAGCTTTTCCAATTTGATTCCTTCCTTTAGGCCCCTTCATAGTTGGAGTGATCTTGCTCTTCTGGAATCAGGTTCTGTTGGAAATGAGATTCTTGCTACCTTTGTTTACTTGTGTTCGTTGGAGGTTCACTTTATTCCATGGTGAATAATTCACTAATTCTTTCAGATCTGCTTTTCCTTGAAAAGGAGGGAACTAAATAATGTTATTGGTAGTTTTCTAGACAAATAGTGCTATTTCATTATGCAGGCCATATAATAAGTGACTCAAGCAGAAAAAAGAAGACCACATAAATGGGTAATTACACGTATATGTTATAATATTTATACATATATATAACCAATAGTACATTGTTTGTGAGAATTATGCCAGATTGATTCATATCTTCATCTTAGTTGGCAGTAAGGTCTAGCTACCTCGGATGGTGTAGTTGAACTGTTGGGAGAGATTGATTATGGTTATTGGTTTAAATAACCCTTTATAACAAATTTATGAAGGACCTATTAAACATTATGTTAAAAGTGTTAATGGTCTGAAATTATATATCCTCTGTTGTAGAATTCTGAAGTGGCCAGTTCCTTTTTATTTATTTTTATATAAAGCATGGAGGGCGCTAACATAATTTAAGCTCATCAATACAATTATTAGGATTCATATTGATTAATACTGGAATAGAAATGATTGTTGATTCTCTCTTTTGGGAATCCATGATCTCATCTTTTATCCATTTTGTCATCTAGTGCTAAAGATAAAGTGGGGATAATTGAACTCTTATTATTCGATTTGAGAAGTGCTATAGAAATCGTATAATAATAATAAATGTTTACGTATGTTTGTTGTAGGTTCTCTTTATTCCATAGTGAATAATTCAATAAATTTTGTATACCAAAATTTCCTTGAAAAGGAGTGAATAAAATATCAATACCTCCTGATAATGTAATTGGTATTTAATTTGTGAATAAACATTGCCGAATTATCACCTGTGGAGACAAGTGCTAATTCATTATGCAAGCCGTATAAGTAATACTAGCCGAAAAAGGAAGAGCACATAAGTGGGTAATTACATGAATATATTATATTATTTATCCCATTCTCTTTACTTTTGCAGAAATTATTTCTTCTTAGCAGTGTTTTTCTTTTTAAACCATGTGATTAATGGTTGATTTATATTATTGATATGTTAGTTTGCAACCATCCTGTGTCTTCTTATTTTCCAATGTTAATCTAAGTTTTATTAGTTTCTGCTCTAAGGAATCTTGTCTTAGTGCAGGAAGCACGGAAGCGTTTCGACAAGGCGAGCCTTCTTTATGACCAGGTGCATCTCACATCTCAGATAGTTAGAAGTCTCTGTGTTGATTTAATGTAATTCTCATGTACTGACAATTCTCATGTACTGACAGACGGCATTGTCATTGTTCTTATATTGTAACTGAGGTATATGGCTCATGTAACACCTTTGGTGCAGGATCAAGCCCATGAGTTTATGGACTAAAATAAAAGGCAAGGGTTTTGAGTTGACATGCCCAAACGGATTTATTCTACTCATAGAATTGACAAGGATGATATATATGATGAAGATGATGAGGTACGTGTGTTTCTTTCGAACATCCAGTTTTTTAGTTAAAGGTTATCTGGATTATGACCTTTCTGCCTGCTCTATATTCATGTCGAAATTCGAATATATGAAATGGTGGTCGGAGGCTGCAGGTGACACCGAAAAAAAAACCCAGAACCATCATCCATCTCTAGCCTCCACTAAGACATAAATGTCATCAACTTATTTCTTCTGCCACTTCATCTTGCCAACTACTCTTTTTAACCTCTTCTTCTCATTTAGCCACTTCTTGACATAATCTTTTTGACGAAGGACGTGAAAATATTTTCTCCCCTCCTGTAATGCTAGATTATCAACAATGAATTGCGGGCAAGAGTCACCCTACATAGCCCTATGGGCACAAAAATGTGCTAGATTATTACCCCTCTATGGATAAAACCAATGTGAAAATAGGTAAAACCACCTACGTCCTGGCGCAATTTCCTTCACAAATAAAATAATTAATATTCATAGATTTTAAAGTATATGATTAAAAACAAGAACAAAACCTGAAAGTAGAGAAACAAGTACAAACTAACTTGTATCTACGACTAAAAATGTTGTTGTTGGCCATTACTTCATCGTTCATGCAATTGATGACATTCTCACAATCACCGAATAATTCGAAGTGTGTATTTCTGCTCCAACGCAGAAGAAATTGTCTCTTCTGTGGAATAGAGCTCTTCTTCCTCAGTAGAGCATACTCTCTTAGTTATTGGCTTACTCAAAAATCTTTTCACAGCCCATGAATTGTCCCTTAATATCAACTCTACACTGCCTTTACGGGTAATATAGTTATATCCAGCATCTGTAGCACCCCTCACAAACCCTCTTTCGATAGGATGTCTTCTAAATGTCTTTGCCTCTTCTTTTAGTAATTTTTTTTTCGATTCCCCACAAACTTAAACACGACTTTCTTCCAAAAACTCCCTTATTGATTTTTCCTTTTCGGTGTCACCTGCTGCCTTCGACCACCATTTCATATATTCGATCTCTTATGGATTTTTCCTTTTCGGTGTCACCTGCTGCCTCCGACCACCATTTCATATATTTGATCTCTTATGGATTTTTCCTTTTCGGTGTCACCTGCTGCCTTCGACCACCATTTCATATATTCGGTGACTGGATTTTTCCTTTTCGGTGTCACCTGCTGCCTTCGACCACCATTTCATATATTCGGTGTCACCTGCTGCCTCCGACCACCATTTCATATAAATATATGAATGGTGGTCGGAGGCAGCAGGTGACACCGAAAAGGAAAAATCCATAAGGGAGTTTTTGGAAGAAAGTCATGTTTATGTTTGTGGGGAGTCGAAAAAAAAATTACTAGAAGAAGGGGCAAAGACATATCCTATTGAGAAGGGGTTTGTGAGGGGTACTACAGACGCTGGATATAACTATATTATCCGTAAAGGTAGTGTAGGGTAGGTATTAAGGGACAGTTCATGGGATGTGAAATTTTTTTTGAGTAAGCTAATAACTAAGGGAGTATGCTCTCCGGAAGAAGCAGAGCTCTATTCCACAAAAGAGACAATTTCTTCTGCGTTGGAGCAGAAATACACACTTCGAATTATTCGGTGATTATGGGAACGTCGTCAGTTGCATTAAGGATGACCAAGAACAACAATTTTGGTTGTAGATACAAGTTAGTTTGTACTTGTTTCTCTACTTTCAGGTTTTGTTCATGTTTTTAATCATATACTTTAAAATCTATGAATATTAATTATTTTATTTGTGCAGGAAATTGCGCCGGGACGTGGGTGGTTTTACCTATTTTCACATGGGTTTTATCCATAGAGGGTAATAATCTAGCACATTCCTGTGCCCATAGGGCTATGTTGGGTGACTCTTGCCCGCAATTCATTGTTGATAATCTAGCATTACAGGAGGAGAAAATATTTTCACGTTCTTCGTCAAAAGGATTATGTCGCTAAAGGAGAAGAGGAGGTTAAAAAGAGTAGTTGGCAAAATGAAGTGGCAGAAGAAATAAGTTGACGACATTTATGTCTTAGTGGAGGCTAGAGATGGATGATGGTTCTGGTTTTTTTTTTTTGGATGTATGTTTTGGTGGTGGTTTTGTTATCTTTTTGGTTGCTTTTGATATGATACTGGGGAGCTCTTGATATTAACGTGTGAATGGTGGTTCTGACTTCTGATATGATATGGCTATATTTTTGTTGCTGCTGCTGGTTTTGTTGCTTCTGGGATTGATAGTCTTTAGCTAATCTGATGGAAGTAGAGGTCAAAGAACATCGTGCTAGTGTTGTGCTACGTGTGTCTGTTGATTTGTATCTATATTACTGTAGTGTTGAAATGGGTTGGTTTTGTTGGAATGCTTTAGCTTTAAATTGTTTGCTCTTATAGAGTTGTCGATCATGCCCAGTGATAACATGGTAGCTTTGGAATGGGTTTGTTTGTAGTGCTATGTGTTGATGCTCAATTTTTGTTGTTTGAAAGCTTTAGCTTTTGGACACATGGGACCTCATGTAACATATACAACATCGTATGGTCAGGTCTTGTGGTTATGTATTTTGCTCATCTAGAGTTTTCGGTGATGCCCCTCAGCTGATTTGTATTCATATTACTGTAGTGTTGGAATGGGTTTGTTTGTAGTGCCCTGTTTTGATGCTCATTTTTTTTTGTTGGAATGCTTTAGCTTGGACACTTGGGACCTCGTGTAACATGTCCAACATCTTATGGATCCAACTTCTTATGGTCTTGGGGTGATATTGATATTGTTTGCTCTTCTAGAGTCTTTGGTCGTGCTTAGTTATCAGACTTAAAAAATAAAAAAGGTTCGACCTGTTTTGTGTAATTATCCTATGATATCGGCTTGAAGGACGTTCATTTTTGATCTGTTGCAAATAGTATCCCCTGCTGAACTAAACAAGATGTGAGATGCCGTTTCTGTAGGAGGAAGGAGACATCACCTTCCTTCCTACATTTCCTTTATTTCAAATTTGCACTACTTGTACCAAATGAGCCTTAAAATGGTCCAAATCCAAGCAACCAAAACATTTTTCGAGACTTTTTGCGTGGTGGTTGATGCTTCCAACAGAAATTTTGAGAGCATAACAGATATTTCAGGAAAAGGAAAAAGAGGGCTGAACTACTTCCCGAATTATTGCAAAGTAGTTGTTCCAAGACTATTAGTTATTGCCAGTCTCCCATTTATTTTATTGAATATTGTATTGAGTATTTAAATTAAGGAAAAACTAGGAAATTCTCTCTTTTTCCAATAGACAGACCGGGGGTTTCAGATTCATCTGAAGGAAAAGAAAATACAGAAACATACAATATAGAACCTTAATTTTATTTTTAACTCTCTACCAAACCATAATTCTCTCTTTTTCCAATAGACAGACCGGGGCTTAGCTTAATTATAAAGTTGGTGCAAGGAAAGATGTCGTAAAATCGTAGACAAGGCCACCCTAGCTTCTATCATGGCAAAATATTGGCCGATGCAGCTCCTTAATGGCCATAAATAACTAGTATTAATAAGAATTCTCACAAAAATACACCGTGGTCGTTACCTGAAGTTCTGGATCACGATGAACGACGCTTTGTTGCATAATCTTTATATTTGGTACAAAAATAAAAACTTCCAAACACATAATTAAAAATTATATAATAATAGTAGGGTTCACGCTCAAGTTAGATTTTATTTTAGATTCAAAACCTCAATTTATGAGAAGAAAAATATTTTAAAACAAGTTTTTGATTTTTGAGTAATGAAACTAAAAGAACAATTAATAAGAGTAAATAACTTTGATAAAGTGATAGGAAGAAAATCTCAAGAAAGGGAATCCACCACCATAGATCTATATAAATAATGCAAAATAAAATAATAAACAAAATGTTCTCACGAGGAAAATTAATACATGAAATAAAAGAATTTTTTATATTTCAATCATCGTGACTTCATTTCTCCCTTAAGAGAAGTGCTTACACTGGCATATTAACAAAAAGATAAAAGATAAAAATAAAAATATTTTTCATTAAATAAGAAAAGAATTTCAAGAAAAGATGCAAGACAATACAACTAACTCTGTGTGTCCCAACTCCCCTTCGGTGAGTTGAGTTCAGAAGGGGAGAATTTGGAGGAAAAAAGAAGGCATATAAATATTTATTAAAATAATTGTGTATTTCTTTAAGAAGCCATAAATTCTAATATTTTTACCATTTTTGCATCTTTTCTTCTCGGTCTGAAATTAAACCTCTATGAAACATGAAAAACAAAGATAAGGGCCCACGAACTTCCAAGATCAGAAGTCATTCCACAAAAAATTGTCTTTGGGGTTAATTTTTTTAAAACGGGCTTAAAGTGCGGTGGGCTGAAAACCCGTTCAGCCGAAGCTCCCCAAACTTGTTTTAGATCGGCTTCTCGAGAGTTGGATCACGTTTTAAGAGACTAAAATCTTATTAATATTTGACCTCATTAATTGATTTATGTTGTCCATATTAACCTTAGAAGTCCACGAGATCTCGTTTATTTATCACTTCAGTTTTTCTCATTATGATGAAATCTCAAAGCATGAACGTCTCTAAATTCGAGTGTTATTGGATGTGTTTCTCTTATATAAAAATAAATATATTATTGCTAGACTCGAAAGAGATTCTTTGAGATAAGAGTGTTGAAGGAGATTAACAAATTCTATTGGAAGTATGAGACTACCACATTTCTGTTATCTTTTGCATGCCATGAATAATCTCAATGAACTTCTAGTCTTCTACTTCTCAAAACAGGAATGAATACTTGCAAAAGCTAATACTCAACAAGGGCAATAGGAACGAATGAGATTGTTTCTCTTTGCGCCGTGTAAATAAAAGTAAGGGTAAATTGGAGGGTAAAAGTCATGTGGCTACAATTTAGGTATTTTTTAGAAAATGACATGCCCTAACTTTGGTAAATTGAACGATGGCACTCTCAAATCAAAAAAGTACTTTATTACCTGTTAGCTTATGAATTGACTTATTTGAATTATTAATTTACTAGTTTAACATTCTCAAATCATTTTAATGTACAAAATTAACCTCTTCTTCTCCACACAACAACAACAAAATCTGTAAACCCAAACTCCATTAACACAAAATTCAGAACATAACCACCAATCATAATGTAATAACTCATGATTTTACAGAAATTTTTAAAGAATTTATTAATTTATTTTATGTAGATTAATTATTAAATTAATGGTTTATGGGTATTTAATTATTTATTGTTTATTGTTTGATTAATTTGTTATGTGAATTTAAATATTTCTTGTTTGATTAATTGGTTATGTGAATTTAAATGCATTTTATTTATTTTATTGGGTGAACTAATTGATTATTTGTTAATATTTTATTTATTTTATTTAATTGAAGTGAGTTGGGTTGGATCCTAAGCAATGTATTGGACCATGGGATTAAAATGCCTAGTTGGGCTCTAGTAGGCTTGTTATTTATTTTGGCCCTTGTGCCATTTTATATTTTTAATTATTCTATAATATATTATACTAGCCTATTATTGTAGGGTTAGTCAATTATACATACGTATAGATTTAGAGAGTGAGAAAGAGAGAGTGAACTAGAAAGAGAGAGAGAGAGAGAGAGAGAGAGAGAGGCGACAGAGAGAGAAGACAACGAACCCCAAAGTTGCCGGTATTGGAGAAGAAGAATTTGGAAAGGCTTGTGATTCCGTTTTACTACGAAATCCTAAGGCAAGTCACCATTCTTCTCTCCCCCTTTGAGCTTATAAACTTTTCACCTTAGATACCAAAATCATAGGATTACTAACTATAGTATAAACATGATTCATTTGGAAAAAAATATGGATTTGAACCTACATGTATGTCTTTATTTTTCTAAAATTGTTAACTTAGTTTTGAAAACCCTAATTTGATTGATTGTTGTTATTTGATGAATTTGAATCTTATTTATGATTTGATTAACTGTAATTGCATTATTTAATCTACTTTGTTATGGATATGTATGACAGAATTCTGGACCGAATTCTGAACAGCAGTTCAGTAAGTTTCGACTAGATCATACTATGGAGAAAAACTCACTAGCTTCAGCTTGTACACCATGTCAGTTTTTGGCCGAAAACTATCATTTAGGGTATGAAGTCGCATTTTCTAATCTGTTAGGAGACATCAGAATGCCATTTTATATTTTTAATTATTATGTACTATATTATATTAGCCTATTGTTGTAGGGTTTGTCAATTATATCATATTAATAGAGAGAATGAGAAAGAGAGAGTGAACCAGAAAGTCAGAGAAGAAGGCGACAGAGAGAGAAGGCAGCAAACCCTTAGGTTGCAGGTATTAGAGAAGAAGAATTTAGAGAGTCTCGCGATTCCGTTTTACTGCGAGATCCTAAGGCAAATCACTACTCTTCTCTTCCCCTTTCAACTTATAAACTTTTCACCTTACATACCCAAACCATATGGTTATTAACTATAGTATAAACATGATTAATTCGGGGAAAAAAATACGGATTTGAACCTATATTTATATACATGTATGTCTTTGTTTCTCTAAAATTGTTAACTTAGTTTTGAAAACCCTAGTTTGATTGATTGTTGTTGTTTGATGATTTTGAACCTTATTTATGCTTTGATCAACTGCAACTGCATTATTTAATCAACTATGTTACGATTATGTATGACATAATTCTGGATCGAATTATGAACAACAGTTCGGAAAGTTCGTTTTCGACTAGATCATAGTATTTTTTGGGTGGAAACGATTGATTGAGAAAACCCACTAGCTTTAGCTTGTGGGTCATGTCAGCTTTTGGCCGAAAACTATTGTTTAGGGTTCCGAGGTCAGATTTTTTAATCTATTAGGAGATATCGGAATATTTTTATGATTTTTGTTAAAAGCTGAAACGAAGTCCGATTGTTCTAAATTTTTAAATTTGGTGGTTTTTGTTGATTATGTTTATTATTATATTTTTCTATAATTTTTAGTGAAACTTTATTTTTGGACTTATTTTCGGAATTGCTTCGAGCACACTAAGACTCGATAAAGTTTAAATGATGAATTAAATACAGGGTGTATGTTTGATAAATAATTTTAATCATATTAGAAACATATTGTGTATTGTATTAAAAGATAATAATCGTAGTTGGAGTATATGTTGTAGTGTGATAAACAATATTAAGCATAATTATTCATTCCCGTTGATAAATGA